GTCGCGCCATCGACTAAGCCATTGCTTAGTCGATGGCGCGACACGACAAAGCGCTGACATACAGTTGATATCATTTCAATAATCGCCCCGCAGGAGAGGGAGCCCTCTGTCCTCTGCGAAGCACTCCAGGGAACACACAGGTGTGGTACTGGAATGGAACGTTGTGTTCCGTTTATGCATTGGTGGATGTTGAAAAGTCAGCTCAAGTTCCTTTGAACAAATAATGGAAAAACACACACTACTTGGACACATGCTCTTGATATTTGTAACAGCTTAATGTATGTCTATCATGGTCATTAACACTAGGAATTAAGTGAAATTCACCAGACTCTGTTTGATTTTGTGAAATTATTTTACTTTGATCATTTATGTAATGAGGAATGAGTGATTGTGATAGTTTTTCTTCGAAATTTTTTACTGAATCTTCATTCTGTAATTACTTAATGTGGTTTTATGACACCCAATTTTTTTTTTTTTCTATCACCTCACATTTGTTACAATCATGATTTCTTACCCGTATAATGTTGTAATCGAAGTGGGTCTAATGCTTACAGGATCGCTGGGAACGTCTGTTTTTGATACAGAGGTGTATCTTGTCGGGGCATCTGGTGGTGTTTATGCTCTACTTGCTGCACATTTAGCAAATATTTTACTGGTAAAACTACTTTTTTGTCTTTTCATATTATTAATAATAAACTAGACTTTCTGGTTGAGATCAGGTTTATTGTTCTTTCATTTTGAGAAAATTAAGCAAAAGAACAGATATTTTTGCTTGTCTTATTTCTTGTTTAAGTTCCTAAAAAACCTATTGCCTCTAATCTGCTGTGTAACCAATTTGCCGAACCGTTGAAGAACCATCCTCCGACCGAAAGCCAATGCCTCCTCCTACATTAAGGTTTGGTAAATTTTCCAATATTTGAGCTCAAAATTGAGAACAAATTCAGCATCTAAATATTGCAGATCTGGACTCTTGCAGAATTGAAATAATACCTAGTATTTTTTTTAGGCTGTGCAGTGAGATACTTAGTTCTTCTACCCAACTGCTCAATCATTTGGTTGTAATTTAGTTTTATGTGTGTTTCACCAAACTTATCTTTTTTTTTGCAGAATTTCAACAATATGGAATTTGGTGTGATCCGACTATTAGGCATCTTTGTAATAGGTGAGTTGTCTCTTTATCTGTATAACGAGTTTTTCGACACGGTATCATGTTGAGCAGTTTGTTTCAAAACATCTTGAATACAAGAGTGAAAGGTCTGGATGTGAACCTTAACATTATGTGTTGTTATCCCATCTGGGGCACAGAAACTGCTCACAAATTTCAAACCCAACGCGAGCCATGACAACTAAAGCTAGGGTTCAAGTTCAAGAAATGCAGCTAAGTAAAAAAGAATAATCAACTTTGCGTTGGGCCCAAAATTGTCTGTATAAAATGCAAATTTTCACCCTCTATTGTCACCGGAAGCAGGCCAGATTTGGTAGTACAAGGCGGTTGGCTGGTAGAACGTAGGTTCATGATTGAAACCCTGGTGGTGACACGTTTTTGAGGATACTGAAAAATTCATCAGCAAGATCGTTTATGGCCATGCCACTCAAATATTCTGTTCTTCTCTCTATATCAGGTGACAGGGTAGAAGAGAGACATGCCCATCTGACATCAGTCAGTCCGTTTTGTATGACAGTGTTGTGTTTAAATCCTGAATAACTTATAGTGTGGGTAACTGCTAGTGCCACCTGTCAGTCGTTGAGACAACTTCAACAACCGAGTCAAATTTTGTGAGGACATGGCCATTTTCCGCATGTCTGTGCTTGGTAGCGTTTCCCTAAGTCACCAGAGAGGCCTGCCATTGGCTTATCAGATTTTTGCTGAACCTTGTAGCATTATGACTTGTATGATGAAACTTAGTTCAAGAGCACAGGTTAACTTTGGGGTGCATTATGGGCAGAGCACTGTCTTGTTCCGAAGCACCTCTCTAGTCAGCCTGGCCCTAATGCCACTATTACTACTACTCCTACCATTTCGACTACTCCTCTTATTAAAAAAAATAAGCTGAAATGCTCAAAACTTATTTCTTGGGATAGGAGTTTGCTCTCTGTAGAAAACTCACATTCGACCTGATTGGTTTTAAATTTTCCTTTGTGCGCCTAAGTTTTTTTTCCCTGCGGATAATTACAATTTCATAATTTTTTAAGTTTCTGCAATTAATTTGAACTGAAAATTTTTCTCCTGAAAGCACATTGTCAGTTATGTTAAGATGCTTCTTTGCACTTATTGTGCAAGACGGTTGACTTAAAAGTAGAAAAAATTCATTTTCATCTTTAAAATTTCTTTCTTATTCCACGATTCTATTTTTCCAAATTTGTGCATTATTCAAATTTAATTTGTATTTTTCAGTGAGTGCCGATGTTGGTTTTGCTGTTTATGATCGACATGCTGCGGAAATGCTAGATACTTCAGTGGGCTGCCACCCAGTGAGCTATGTCGCCCATCTGACGGGTGCTCTAGCCGGGCTCACCATAGGCCTTCTAGTCCTTAAAAACTTTGAACAGAAGCTCCATGAACAATTAATCTGGTGGATTGCACTAGGCGTCTATGCGGCCTGTACCATCTTCGCCATCCTTTTCAATATCTGCAGTCCCTCGTATGCCGATCCGTGAAATCACTGCTATTCAGCTTCGCTCTAAGTTTTTCTCAGGTTCCCATATCTTCATCTTGTGGATGAAGAAAAAGTTGTCTTATATATTATAATAAACTGTTTGAAGAGTGGCTGATGCATCTCATCCAACTCGCTCCAAGCACTCTCTCTGAGATTATGTGACGTCACAGAAGAGAATGTAGGAAACTTTTAAATTTAAATTTTAGCTTAATAATCTTGCTTTTATCCTCAGGTTTAATTTAAGCCCTCTTTTCTTATACTGACAAGTGATTCTTTTTGTCATCGGTGACTCTAGCCACTCTATTTTTTGAGTGCTCTCAAACTTATTTTTAGTTTGATGTTTTCATTTGCTCAAACTTTTGAGTGCAGCAGCAGAAAAATATTTTTTTTTACAAGCAAAAGATCGCTGTTGTACCAACTTGCAGAATTTATTTACAAGAAGTTCTGTCAGTTTCTCTCATTTTTTAATCATGAACACGAAACTAAGAGTTCTTAAATTGTATCCAAAAGTTGAGTATTAAAATCTGTGAAGATCTTTTTTAAAGCTGATGTCAGGATTTTAACCTTCAAAGTGAAACTTCCAGCTTTATGAGACAAACTTTTGTTCTAGCAGCTATTATTTAAGCTAAGCAGTATGAAGCTTTGAAAATGGGAGCAGCAGTTTTTAAGTGCCCATTTAAACTCAGAAAATTTGCTAGTCATTTGTTATTAAGATTCTCGCTCTATTTTGTATTATTTTTCATCAAACTCATTCGTTCATCCAAGAACACAAAGAGGCGTTTACTTGTACAGTTGAACCTCAGATATCCAGCAACATAAAGTGGAGAGCTGTGCTAGATGAGTGTCAAAATTTCCTGATAATTGAAAATCCTTTGAATTTATCAGATAATTAGAAATTAACTTTAAAAACTGACCTTAGGATCGAAAATGTGTCCTATAAATGACTAAGGGATATCTGCCAGATAATTGAAGTACTGGTTACCTGAAGTTCAACTGTAATTAAAATTAGCTGCGCATTTTTCGTTCAATGTAAAGCATGTGTAAGTATACATCTTAAGAATTTTAGATCAAATTTTTACAGAATTTCTTCACTTCGGTAGCTAATTATCGAATAACGGGTAATTTTTTCATGTTTGTTATTGCAAGTAAGGAGCAAGATCCTTGCCTACAGCATTAAGTTAAGTTTTATGATATCTTTTACTATAAATGTCGTCTGCTCACTTTCAGAAAAGTGGATCTGCAATGAATGAACTTATTTCTGCGTACACTCTTTATCATTTACAACTTTTACATAAAATAATTGGCTTTACGCTGTTTAAGTGTGATTCATTAAATTCACATAATCTCAACTGAAGAAGGTGGGGTGGAGACTTGATTTGATTTTTCATCCTAGGAAATTTTTTTATCTCAATAGCCATGGCAATATTGGTCCTCTTTTTGTTTATCATGCTAAGGCTTTAAACTTTATTGATCTGCGGGCGATTGGCAAATTTTTTATTATGTTATTTAAAAGTATTAAGTTATTCGAAAGTATTAAGTGAACTTAGCGAATATTTTTTCTCACCTTTTTTTTGATAACGGCAACCAATAGAAAAGTCCATGTGACAGTGCAAAAAATTAGGGTTACCAAAAATAGGGTTTGAAAGGCGCACTTTTTATTTTTGAATTCATGATTGTCGATTTTGCGATAATTTAATCACGATCAATATGGCGGAGGAATCCGCAATATAGAAATACACTGCAACATTGCTGTTTTTTGTTGATCAGTAGGAGGTTATTAAGGCCAAGCACTTCGAAAAGTTCAGCTGTCTGCTAATGTCCTTATCGGATTTCTCCTAAGCTGCATTCGCCCAGATTACTTATTTAAGAAAGTTCTAATATTTTAGCCTAACAAAGAAGCAAGTGTTATTTCCTTGTGGGGATGATTTTTGGTGCAATTTAACTGTGCGCATCATTTTTCCCATACATCAAACTGTGGAAATCAACAATTTGCAGGTCAATTCCTCCCTAGGTTAACTGACCCATCTCTGATTTTTTTTATACCTGCAATGCTAATGTAATGAAGAATACTCATTAGATTCTGTATGTGTGTGTAGCTTCTGAATTAAAATTTTGAATGCAATTACCGAATTGTGTTACCTATCTTAAAAGCAAACTCGAATCACCAGAAATGAGTTAAGATCTAAGGATTGTATTATTTTTTGAAATCACTCTTAGCTCTCTTTTATGTCGCCCACTGCCAATCGTTATATAAAACACAAACTTGTTTGAATTATCATCATTTTTTTTTTTCATTTGCCTTTTGGATGCATTTAGCCCCACAAACTGAAACTGTAAGTCATTAGTGCCTTCATTCATGTTTTTTCTTTATTTTACAAATTATTGGCAGCACTGTATTATGAACTCTAATTACCTTACTATTTTATTATCAGCTTTAATTACCTAGCTAGAATTTTACAAATTTTCCAACTCCAACTTTTATACAGTAATTTGTGCATCTTGCTATCCTCTAAGGTCTAAACATCAAGTATCCTTAACTCTGAATGTACCTCCGTTTTTCATGTGAAAGGGCTCCCTATATCAGAGGTGTCTTGAAGAGAGTTTTAGATAGAGGATATTTTAAGGAACGTTCCGAAATTTTAGTAATATACTCTCATGTCATAAGTAGGAAGCGAAATCCTTAAAGGATATTCTACTAAGTTTAATTTGAATAAGAAAGGTCTGTACAGCTTTGAGAGAAAATGTTGGATCAATTACCCGATTGATTACTATCTAAGCTTTCATTTACTAAATATAAGATCTCATTCCAGTTTAAAATCCAAATTTCTTTACTTCTAAATGTACTTTACTTACACTACTGAGGATTCCAGTTGAATCTCTAGGGTGATAGAATTTTGGTTTTTCAAGATCAGAAATCAGCATAACACTCTTACTCTTCACTTCTTTTTGTTTTCTCCTATTAATTGCTATGTGTATAAACACAAAGTGAAACACAAACACAATCGAGAGACTTCAGTAGAGGCCTTGCTAAATAAGTATTCGCACTTGTAGACTGCAACATAGGAGATCCGTCATCTTGATTCTTGAATTTCCTTTCAATGCTGAACCGACAACATACAATCTTTTGTCGCAGTCTAATAGTGTGTAAACTTATGTGGTGTGGACTCTTTTATACTCTGACTCTGCGTTTTATTGATGATCTATGAATATCTCATGATCATGATCATGATCTATGATCTATGATGATCTCAATGTAGAAATGAATGGCAGAGCAGTTGTACAGCAATGGCAGCGATACATAATAGATTTTTGCCATGGGATTATGTATGATGTCTGGTGTTCTTTTTAAATCTAAATAATAGGAGAGCAATGTTAAAATTTCTGGCACTCAGAAATCATTCATTTGTACTATGTACTTTTTCCAACTTTCAAATTATGTACTTTTTGCAATTTATACATTCATGCTGCAATTTAAGGGCGTAGTGCCCTTTTATGGTTTCCTCATTGTGCACAACAAACTGTTTCGTATAAGCTGATTCGTTTATACCTAGTCCTCTATCTCATTCTGTACATTCTATCGAATTCTATGAGATAGCGATTTATTTCATCAATCAAGTCCTCTGGAAATGGCCTTTTCAACTCAGCCTCTCTCAAAGACTCTTAGTTCTTCAGTTGCCCAATGATAAGCTGCCGTGATAGGAGTGATGAAATACTAGGTCTATTGTGCTGCCATAGGTTCGTCAATGTTCGAAAAACCTCTTATATTTTTGTCAGTGATTTTTTTATACTAGTCTGTAGTGAACGCGTCTCTTTGTAATGTTTCCTCGTCCCAAGTTTTTGCGATTTATTTTTCCGGGCTCTCCGTTTGATAGCCACGAGAAGTGTGACTCTGTATATTTCATGTAAAGTAATTTGTTTTCCTATTCTTAATCGTATTGTTTTCTGATTTCATTGCAAGTCGTTGTGTTAAATTATTTTTCTCTGTTTTATATTTTTATTTATTTATTTATTTATTTATATTTATTTATTTTCAGTGCTCTAAGATTAGGTGTTTAACTCACACTATGTATTTTACTAATAAAAAAATTTCACTTCAGTAACTTGGTGTGCACTTCCTGACTTATGATATTAGTATCCCTCAGAAAACTTTTGAAAACCAAAATGAAACTTCAGTGATCAAACGTAATAGAATACAAGCTGCTGAAGTCAATCCTAGAAGAATTGAAATAGTTGGCCTCAAGTGTTGCACAATGAAACCAAAAATGAAATTTCTCTATTCTTTCAATTTTTTAGAACTACCCAGCATGTGGCATTGTTAAAAAATTTAGAACAATCAAGAGTAAATAATTTTCTGTCATGTTTCCAAATTAATAAAAGAATATTATCTTTGAGTTGGGAAATCATTTAAAAATACTTCTCTGTTAAATGCATTTCTGGCCTCCAGAGGTGCCAACTGCTTTCAGAGTCAGTGCCACAGAGTTTCCTAAAGCGAATAAAAGGTAGCTTTGAGTGTTGTCGAATATACAAGTGCTGAATTTTAACCCATTCTGTTGATATGGTATTAGCGAGAACCAGTCGACTCATGGGGAATTTTAAATAAAAGAATCAGTCTCCTCGTGTCATTTCATAGGGAAAGTCACTTGATTTGGGGGTGGGGGAGGGGAGCGGTTTGGAGGAAAAGGGGGACAAAAGCAGCCTTGCTAATTCAAGAAATATGTGTTGAACGTTTCAAAACTAAACAGAGCCTCATGGTGGAAGAAAGTTCAAACACACTTTTTGATGCTTAAAAATTGGATTTTAGTAGTGAAGTTTTCTTAACATAGATATCAAGACTAGTTTTAGTTGAAATTATCAATACCTCAATTTTTTCAAAAACTGTACTCATCCCACTTGTCATTCAAGCTCTTCATTTCAGCTTCATTTCAGAGCTTTTGATTTTACTCCAGCAATTACGATCCATATGAATGATGTACATCAATCCCCTAGGATTTTTCTTGATTTTGGATTTGGAAAAATAATTTCATGATAGCCCCTTAATCATTTGCAAATTAGGGCATAAAATCGATGGTGCGAAACCCAAGGCTTCGTAGGACTTCCTATGCTAAGAAACAGGTACTTTTGCCTATTATGAATGCTGATTTTGGACTTGTTTCGCTGATTTGTTAATTCTGAGAGGTACTGGACTTGTGGAGTATTATTTCAGACCCAAATGTCAGACTGTCTGCATCTATAACAGGTGTATCTGTATCCACTGCTAAATACAAAATGTAAGAAATTACTGACATAGGTACCTATATTTTTTGTGCAGAATCTGTGAGCAGGTACAGTGGCAATGTTTCATTTGACACAGTTAAGAAATTAGTTTCTCTGAAAAGCTTGAAGATAGGAGGGTCACTCTTTTAGACTTGGTCAACTAGACAATTGGTCAACCGAGTTAACTATCAATTCATATTTGTGAGATCGAAGTCAAGATAGACTTTCATGAAGGCCAATGGTAAACAAATTTATTTCAGTAAAGCGGTAAAGCCTATCCGAATTCTGAAATAATGGGTGCTCATTAGCTCAGCATTAAGTAATACTCCGCAGCCACTTTTATTTCGCCTTCAATATGCTGTAAGGCAATTGTCGTTCTTTATGCGTTGAGTATACATATCTTCTTTTTTGAAGGCGTTAAGCGTAGTGGATGTGAAAAGTATCATTGAATTAAAGTACTGACAGATGTGTTTTTATTAATCAGTGCTGATAGTACGGTCCATAAAATTAAATGTACTTTCTGTATGCTGATGTTCTCAATTTGCTCAGCAACTTACTCTTTACCACAGGAAGAACAAACATGGATCAAGCAGCATAAAGCAGGTCCTGGATTCAGGAATCAACACAACATGTGATAAGAGCCTAACCTCACTTAACATCTGCACACTGTTACTGCAGTAGGTAATCAATCCAATTCTTTGAATACGCTGTAACTTCATGCATGTACAGTAAGTCTCCCAACAGATCAAGTAAGAATAATCTTTGTAAGTACTTGAATAGTACTTATTTCATTTAGTGTCAATATTCAGTCAATAATCTATAATTACAAAGTGCATCATTCTTGCTCCTAGTTTGTTTGTGCCATCCGTGACCCTGGTCTTAGCTCCCTACAAGTCATTGTTTTTTTCATGAAATTATTTGTTTCCAATCAGAGAATTATCCATCATGTGATTGCTTGCCACCTTAGGCGTGTCACTAAACCCACCTCACTACCAACGCTTGCTGCCGTGTGAGTCCTCTCTAGTATTCCAATCCTCCGACATGCAGTCCTTATCAGCTCTGACACGCTTAACCTGTGCAGTCCCTAAAATTTTCAGTGTTACAAAGCCCCTGATAACACGGCGATCCACACCAATCTTTACGGGACAGTGTATGGCCATGAGCAAAAGAAAAGGCTTTGATTGGTTGCCACCAGATCTAAACAAAGAGGACGATAATGATCTAAACAAAGAGGACGATAATGATCAAAACAAGGTACACTTAGCCGGAAAGTACACAGTCTTTAAGGACGAAGATGCTGATATCATCTTGGATGTTGATGAAGAGAGAGCCCTGAAGGCCCAAGGTTTCCGGCGCGAACTGAAAGAGAAAGAGAAAGTAGAAACGGATTATTTCGAAGGAATCAACTTGGAGCGTAAGTATCTTCCTTTCTAACCATCCAAGTGAGTGAAAAATTTGTTGCTGGCGGGCAAATTTCTGACTGCCATTGGGTGAAATCTGATTCCAGATGTAGAAACACCATTCGGGCCATTATTGTTGGGTGCTAATCACTAGTTTCAGATGAATCCAGCATATCAACGGCCAAAGCCTTAAATTTGTGTCTCTCAGATTGAGTTGTTGCAAGCCCCTGATCTAATTTTATTTTTTGAGAAGAAAAGTAAGCATAAGGTTCTATTGAAATTTTCTATGAATTTTCTCTAGTCATCCTGAAATAATCCAACGAAATTGCAAGGACTGATTTTCCTGAAGGAAAATAAAACATGGTCAGAGATTTGTAAACAGTGCTTCATATAAGTACAAACACAGTTTTCTCATTTACCTAGCTATAGACATTTTACATACATTCAGGTACGATAATTCACAATCAAGCCAGATTTTAACAGGATAACTAAACGAACGATGGAGGTGTACTTTCCACCAAAGAGGTATCTCTACCAATGAGGCTAATTTTTTTGCCCTTAATTTTTGTTGTATTATCTAAGATGCGGTCAGTTTTAAACAGGTGCATCTCAACGAGCAAATTTAATTAGAATTCAACTCTGAAAATTAGCTGCATTAACTCTTGTAGAACAGAAATAGAGTCCAACATGTTCTTGTGCGAAGAAGACTGAAGTATAAAAATGTTAATAGGACTAAAATGTTAAAAAAAATTCTGAGTGCAGTTCAGTATTAGTACTTACTGAACAGTCAGTGAACTGTACTGGTCTTTTTGCGCTAAGTCACCAACTAAGACGTGCTAAGTCATCCTATTAAGACGGTAATTAAGTTGTATAGACCTCTTTGTAACCGAGACCCATCACTATTTGCAGCTGTATCAAAATTTATAGAATTCTAAAGAACAGATTTGAAAAAAGTTAAATGAGAGTTTTATGTGTATGAGGCTGTCCCTAAATTACGTAATGCTCCAAGGGGGAGGGGTGGTCTTTGTCAGCGTTGTGCGGCGGTACCAGGTATGGCATGTAAATCAAAGTGTTACGAAACTAGTTTTTGTGATTTTTTTCAAGTTTCCATAGAATTTTTTGTTGATCATGTGTAAAAGTCCTAAAGAATCTCGAAACTTTTCTCTGCATTACTTACACTTTTCCTTATTACCTAAATAGAAATGCCAATCTGTTCAGTGAAGTGAGGTGATATTTAGATGATTTTTTATTGAGATGGGGGGAGGGGGGTCTGGGTAAGCGCTACATAATTTTTTAGGGGGGGGGGGTNACAAGGTTATAAAGTATTACAGGGGGGTCAAGGAGAGGGGTCAAAAAACCGCATTAGTAATAGTGTTACGTAATTTTGGGATGGCTCCTATCCAAAAATGGAGGAAATCTCAGATATTCTGTTTGACTCATACTTACTTTTTTCTTCAGGTGGAAAGGAAGGAGTTTTTGACGTAGATGATCTGTTACATGTGCTCAAAGTTAATAATGCGGAGTCAATATTTGTAGCTACACTACCTGAAGAACTCCAGTATGCTACTTACATTGTTATTGTTTCGGGCAAATCAAAAAAGCATATGGATGCTATTGCAACATTCGTCCGCAAAGTCTACAAAATGAAGGTCAAATCCCAGGGACCAATCCCCCACCTTGAGGGACAAACATCTTATGACTGGCTGGCGTTGGATTTAGGTAAGGAGTAGAGTTGTGGTGAAAAGTTGGTTTAGCGTATGTAATGCATACACAGGTATAATATTAAAATGAAATAAGTTATAAACAAGGAATATCGTTTCAACCAAGTATAAAATTGTGAGACTTCATTTCTGGTCGTACAAAAGTATGTTTAAATAAAGATGAAGAACAAAAGGAACAAGTGTATGTAGTTGAATGAAAAACACACTTTTAAAGTTTTTCTTCAATGAAAAATAAAATGAATAATTAGAAAAAACGACAACGGTGCATGTTTAAATCAATCCACCTGTTGGAGTTTTAATACAATCTGTTGGTACGTAACTTATAGAAGAAAGAAGATTTAGAATGAATCACGCTTCTATGTTTTTCTTCCAAAGATATTGATTTTCAAAGTTTACCACTTGGCAACATTGCTGCATGGGCAGGAACTAGACCTTGAAATGTTAGTGAATCATGTGATCTGTACCAGTCAAAGACACTCTGAACATGGGCCGTCATCCAAGGCAGATTACAGAATGACGTATTAGAATCAAGCTCTGTGAGGAAAATGACAGTTGTTTCAATACCAAAATAAAAAAACACCTGCTCATAAATCCTCAACATTTTTCATGGAGCTTAAATATACTTTTAAATCCAATGTTTATTCTGAAAGAGTGATCATAATTCATAATCTTGTCCTCACGCACAAGCAAACTGTTGATACTGCTCAACTGAGCATGGTGGTGCTGCACTATTGCCAGTTTTAAATGTACATAGTCCATTTCAAACAGTATCAGTGTTTTTTATAATGCAAATAATTTGAAATTGAGGTGTTAGGCGCAAGAAGTGCACTGCTCTGTTCCAGGATCTCTGCCAATATTTCATTCATCTGAAGGAAATAGAATGCATGCATTTCACTGAAATTTTGACTGAATATCTTTCATTATTCTACAATGTTCTGCAAAAAAAATCTTGAAAAATCACCCATCAGATTCTTCTTTAACAATAAGACATAAATTACTTTGTAACAGAGATTCTGAAACATGGCAATTAAGAAGTGTCCTTCTTACACCCAGTGCATCAATTTGAACTCAGTGTTCATGAGGATTTTATAAAGAGATTTAATATTTTTGACTTTAGGCTCTATTTTTTTTGCTGCACATAAGTTTTGACCGAGTCTTATTCACTCGGATTCAGTCAAAATTATTTATCCTACAAGGAAACTATGCACAGCAGAAAAGCTTTCTTATCATTGGCCTAGTCCTGGTAGGTTTGCTCTTAATTTTTTTATCATCCATTACTATAATAAAGCACTCGAAAACTCAAATTCTGAAATTTGCATGTTTCCAGGTAACATAATTCTTCACATAATGTCTCATAAGGCGCGGAAATTTTACGATCTGGAATGTCTGTGGTCGGTCGGTCCCGAACATGATAGCAAAATCAATGATCCAGATGATCCATTGGTTGCACTTCTGGAAGAACACACTATCAATTTGTCTGATTTCCAACCAATGGACCCCAGAAAAGATCCTTCAACCGAACAACAGTCACGGTAAGAAACTGGTTTCTATGTTTTGAACAATCACAATATATGATCATTCGAGAGACCCCGATGTTGAAAGATTTAAAATTAAGGTATTGTTTATCTCTTGTTGCTTGAATTTTTGAATGCGTGACATCATATCTCTGATACCAATTAACAAGCAAGAGGACCATTTTAAAGAATTATTGATGGAGAGGGGACCCGAGTTTCGAGGCGGAGTCATAAGCACTGAGGAAGATTCTAACGTGGAGTTATAGTTTCAAGATGTAGTGAGGGCTGTGCGGGAGGTAAAAAATGGCAGAGCTCTTGGGCCTCAGGGTATACCGGAGGAGCTTATAAAGTGTGGCACCGATAAGCCGTTCAAACATTTGAGGAAACTTATGCAAGACTGTTAGCGTGGTTCTGAAATTCCAAAGGACTGGAAGGAATCTTGGATTATTCCTAGTCATAACAAGGGCAGTAAACAAGATTACGATAACTACAGAGGTATATCAGTCACGGGAACCTTGAGTAAGGCCTACGGTAAAATCCTCAAGGCAAAGGTCGAAGAGGTTTCAAGCAACCAGGAAGCCGAAGAACAGGCTGGATTTAGAGCCAACAGGTCCACTTCCGACCATTAGTTCACCATTATCCAGGTCATTAAGAAGAAAATGGCGGTCGGCCAGGAGCTGCACTTGGTGTTTGTAGATCTTCAGAAAGCTTATGACAGCATGCCGTTTGTGAGGCTTGGGGATGCCTTGGAAAAAATTGGTTCTAGCAAAGGACTTGTGGGGGCAATTATAGCATTTTATAATGGGACAATAGCAAGAGTTAAATCTTACAGGAAATTGTCTGGAGGTTTCATTGTCACAAAAGGACTGAAACGAGGTTGATGAAGGCTAAAAATGATATCATGAACGACGTGATATTCAGGCAGTAAGTGTGGAATGGACATGTGCAAGAAATGTTGGTAGAGAGGCTGCCCAAACAAGTTTTGAATTGGGCACCACCTGGAAAAAGACAACGGGAACGGTCCATGAAGGGATGGCATTTACGAAGAGATGTTTTATTGTCAGTTGCCTGATAAACTACGGGAAGACAGACACATGTGGCGTTTGGGTGTTGTTGAGCACCAGAGAGCTTTGTAGGAGCAACTTTTATGTATGCATGATCTCTTGTTTTGTTTTATCTTTCGAGCATTTGCCAACTATGAGACTATTGAAAAATAATGAGAGAAAAAAAGAAGAAGTTTCTTGGAGAGATGAGCTCACCATAGGATGTAAAGTTTAAAAACTCAAATCGAGTTAATAAATTAAGATTGAAGCATTCTCAGTTAATTTTTCTCTGTTGCTCCAGAAGAGATGGAAATATAACGCACAATATGAGGAACAATCTTCGATCCCATCCAACAGTAGTGATTCCAGTATTACTCCTATATAGTAATTCTAGAAATTTGTGTGAATGGAAGGAAAGAATGGAAACAAGTTTAATTCCATTTATCTCTCTTTTTTTTTATTTGGCAACTTCTGTTGGCTCCTGTCCGCGTGAATGAACGAATCAGCTGAGTAAATATTGTTGGGGTACGATTTAGTGACGTTGTGCTTTGATCATAACGTCATTGTGCATCAAGCCTCTTCGGCCACTATGCCCTAGTTTTTTTAAAATTTTTAGTATGGTGCAAAAATGGAAATCAAGCTCTTCTTTTTATCCACTTTCGCTGTGGTTGTTGTTACTCAGGTAAAAGAAATTTTTAAGTAAAAAATCTCCTTTCAGAATATGAAATATGACCCCCTCTATTTCCCTAAAAACTAGGAGTCAGCCTGAGAAAAAACTGTGGATGATATAATCATGAAACCACGTATCTCCAGCTGCTATGTTTCAGACTTCCTGTTTGCTTTTATATGTTAAAATTTCTAAATTATTTATTTATTTATTTTTATTATTTATTTTTTTTTTTGCTTTTATACTGTCCTTCATCCGATCATTATTGCTGCACAAAATTTTGTGTTGATTCTCTTCAAATTTAAAATTTAAAGTTCATATACAGAATATTTTCTGAAAATTATTATTAAAAGAATTCACAGTAATATTGTTTTAATGATTGTAGTTTGTTGTAAACATAGTTTTCCAGTTCCACTGTCGATATGTCCTATTGGTTTTTTCTTTTCGAACTGAATTATTGCTTTAGATGGCTCTCTGGTCTCAAAACAATTGGTGGAAGTAAAGTTTTGTTCAGAACAGACCTTGCATTAAATAGAGCTTGATTAATTTGATTTCTTCTAAAATATTACCATGTTCTATTTAGTAACAGATACTTATGGGCGCACATAAGTATGTTGAGAAGGTAATGCTCTAATTTCCTCCTTAAATTTTATGATGAGTAAGAAAACACCAAGAATAAGAGTTTCACCAATTTTTAAAGCACCGCCTTGAAACCTGATTTTTATACGCCTATCAAACCTGATTTTTATACGCTTTTTCCTAATGAGGGCTGAGGGCCAGTTAAATTAAAAATTTCATTGCTATAAACCTAAAAGATGTAGAAAAAGTGTCTCTCAAAATTTACGAGGAATTCCCAAGAAGCTCCAAAATTTTCCTCATTTTCAGAGATTTTCACAAAAAACTAAATAGTGCTAGCTGACTGGAAACAGAATTTTTTTTTGTGCACTATGACTTTGCAAACAAGACTTAAGCCCCTGCTTTCTGTATGCTATAAATATTTTAAAATGTAAAACGGTCCAGAGAAAAAGAAAAGAAAAAAAACAACTAAGCTGATTTTTGGGTAAATGTATCGGGCGTTCTCTAATATTCTTCAATTTTACCATTTGAAGCTTTTTTAAGGCTCCTCCATTTTTTCTGGTTTTGAGAAGCTGTTGCAAACCATGGTCAAGCATTTGAGACAAGCTGATGTAATCAAAGACGTTTTTGTGCTATCATTAGAGCAAAAAATTGATATTTTTGTTCAAAATGTATCCATTGAAATGTCTAATTCAACATTTTTTATTTTTCAGGTAAGAGAATGAACCAAGATGACCTCTTTACTTCCTAAATGCTGAGTTGAATTATCATCGCAGAGTCAAGAAATGATTCTACTTCTAGCAGTTGGACTCACGTCCGAGGGTGCCTCTGATTAATTCAATACTAATGTTTAATAATTGAACTGAATTCTGCATCAAGGACCTATTATTTTTGGCTCATCCATAAGGACGTATATCATTGCCCGCCTGACAAAAGGGCATAACTACAAAAGCGTTCAATCACATGGGTGACAGGGCTTATTGCCGAGTGTAGTTCTGTTTGTATGTCAGGAAGGCGAAGATATATGTGTACCTAAGGAAAACTGATGTTTTATTTGTTGCTTACACAATGAGCCACAAATGGACTACATTTTGCAATTCGGAACCATAACTTCTGGCTCATCTGTAAAAACACTTATGCCCGCAGGGAAACTAATGACACATACGTTGTTTCTAAATTGAGCCAGAAATTATAGTTCCTAATTGCAAAATGTGGTCCAAATAGCAGTTCCTTATTGGAGAATCTAGTCCAATTAATATAAATTAGTTCTTTGAAAAAAATGTGGAAATGGTGAAGTTATTTAAAATGTTGTATATTTGGTTTACCGGAAATGGGTCTGTCGCTCTCTGAGAGAAAGATCCAAATGAGGAGCTTTCATTGGGTGAAATTCCACAAAATCACTAATGAGCACAGCAAAAAAGTCTGAAATCCACTCCTTAGTGTGCAGTTTGTAACAGGCTTTTTTTAATTTCCTGCATCTGCTGGCAGTCTGCCATCCTAGGCAATCAGGTTCGCAAGAGAAAGACGTAAGATAATTTTATATAAATAAACAAGCAATCTTAAGAATTGTTACAAACGATTTTTACCAGTTGATCTAGAGCTCTTATTCTTGCAACAGAAAGAAATTAGGAGGAAACAAGGGCTTGAAAACGATTAAAATCATATACAAGAAAAAATAAGCGAGATAATTTGTTCATCAAGTTTAAGTTTTCCTACGTCCCTATCCTAGCAAAGTTAGTCGTGGACGTCCAAGAAATTATTGCCTGGGGACGCTGGGAGTTTGAAAAATTGTGTTACACAGTGCGCTGAAGATTGGATTTCAGACTTGTATGTGTCCATTTTGATTTGTGTGTGAGTTTATCTGTGAAAAGTCGATTTGTAAAGCTGTATCTCTCGCATGCAGCTGACCTATCCAAGGGAACTTCTCTTTGAGCCTTTTCATTTTCTTTCCTCATCTTCTAGCATTTCCACTGAATTGTTGGATTATAAATTATTTAATTTTTTAGGCCTTGTGAATACTCAATAAAAATGCCGAAAATACCTATTCAATCTCTGCATACTATGACTTTGACTGTTAAATGAGGTTCATTATTTGTATGTGTAATTTACTGGAAAAGAACAGCAATTTGCATTTTGTTTTCATTTTGATCATCTCAGTGTTTGGTATACTTTTCTTACCTTGAAAAAAGACCAATTTTTTAACATAGCTGACATGTGCAACTAAACATCCTAAAAATTGTTGCATGTGTATTAGTTCTAGGTTCATCTCTAGTTCAATTCACTTTTGACTTGAACTCTATGAAATGTGTGCTTAATAAAGTTTCATTTGTTCCAAATTCGCTTTGTTCTTTTTTGTTTCAGCTGGTGAATATCAATGGCATTAAACTCGTAAGTCTAAGCCTAAAAATTATCGATTATTGTTAGATTCAAACTGAGATAAGCGTGATAAAAAACATGATCCACATTAAAGCTGCTGCGTAGACATACTTTGAAAATGGTCCAAGATGACAAATCCCTCTCAGACTCGCTACTCTTGCCCCGCTACTCACTCAAAGACTCCGGAGCTTCTCTCTCTGGGTTGCCCTCATATTTGGTTTAAGCAGTACAAGGCGCGATTCATTAATAATGCCCTAACAACAAAAAGATCTTATTTCTATTTGCTTATAATCGCCCATTTTTTTTTTTTAACTCGGAAGAGGGCCTCAAGAAATTCTGAGCCTTGGGGTTAATATAGATTAGTGGTCACAAGGTTAGAAGCTCTTTATCACTTCTGATCTGGTTAATGTGTAATGTAATATCAATTCTGATTCTGAGCATAACTATCATGAAAGGGATATGCTATTGCTAGAACGCCAATGTAGAATGATCAGTCTCAGAAGAGAGACCCCTGCTGCCACGCCCATGCATCCAAAGCATGACCTTAAACTTTGGGGATCACATTTTATGATTAACTTTGAAAGTAGCTTATTTCTGAAAAATTACGTTCGTTTAAATCAAATTCAGGGATCATTAGTCATTTCAGACTTAACAGGGAAAAATTAGAAAGTAGATCTATAGATACACTTTAGACCAATCAATGCTTTCTAATGCTATGCTTCTTGTGCTATGGAACACCCTTGTAACAAATGTCTCTTATGAAGAGACTTGATACATTGAGATTGAGACTATTAAATTACTTATCAGCGGACGTATCTCTTATCATTTCAATGAGGATCTAATTAAATCAATTTTATTTGTAGACCTTTCCTCATCTCCTTTGTTTCCATCATTGAACAAAAGTTATTTCCACCGATAATAAATTTTAAAGAAAAATTTCAATGGAACTTTACCAATTAATAGTAGATTCATCAATCTTGAACCTTCTGTGGCATATTGGTTTTTAACACATTTTTTGGTCTTAAAAATTGAATCTTTCCACTGTGGCATGTTTTCATTAATGCTTTGTTTTTTTGAAAAGATGATTGCCAATTTGTGAAACAAAAGTGGGACTCATACTGTTCTCGAAAGCTACAACATAGGTTTGTGTCTCTTGGAAGCCATGGCCCAAAATAAATTAATGCCATAGAGGGTCCAAGGTGCCCTTATGTTGGTTGATTCAATTCACAGTAGAATGTCTCACATGAAACTCTTGCTACCTAACACACAATGTTAGTCTTCTGTTACAACTGCTCTGCACTTTTACATTTCATTTTCCTCAGTTTTTCCGAAAAATTTGAAGAAAAATATTCTGAAAATTATTTTCCACATTCATGAGTATTTTTCATCTATTCTATCTCGTACAATTTTGCAGGTCGTCCTTTCATCCTCCTGATTCTATGTTAGTGAGTGCATCCTTAACGAAAGTGAACGATATTGAAATTTCCTTAACTCTTTCCAAAGAGTTTATGAAATATTAAACAGTTGAGGCAAATACTCATACTAAAAGAAGATACCCCTAGAGAACAAACATAAGAATAAAAAACCAATCTCTGTGATTGAACAAGTTAAGCCACTCAAGAGCACAGCAGATTAAGTCTAGAGTTTAGAATATTGTACCTTTCTAGAGAGAGTATGGGCAGATCGTTTCATGGAGGCTTCTCGAAGCCCAAAAGGCCCAAAAGGAGAGCCAACTTTCCAAAACGAAAAATCCGAAGCAGACGTTGTCAGCTTTCACATTCGGATCAGAAACTTAGGAGATGCCCTTTGTTGTTTACGTTTGAAGTTCCAAGATAACGGTTGACAATATTTATTAATACAATTGAAATGTATGAAAATACTATCCTGTATGAACTTAATTTTGCATTTACAGGTAATAACAACAGATAATTTTAAGACATAGGTTGGCTGCCTTTATGGGTCCTAACTAATTGGCGGAGGTATCGCTGGAGACCTGACGGAATTTTTGAGTTTCAGAAGTCCATACTCTCCCTATAAAGGTACTCTAGCTTAGAGTATTGAGTCACAGCGCATGATTTGATTTTGATCAAACTTAATCATGGATTAGGAGTGACGTCAAAATTAAGAACCCTCTTCACAACCGTATTTGGTTACAGATTTCTCCTCTGATACCTTTCTGTCGTAATTGTATTTTACAGCCTGTCAAACCCCCGAACTTCCAGGCCATTGGGCAGGAAATTGGGAAACAATATCAGATCGCTGGACAAAAAGTGGTGAATGAGGCGCGCAAGCAACCAAATCATTTCAAAAGATCCATGAAATTAATTAAAGGGAACGTGAATAAAATGGCCAAAGCAGCCAATAAATTCTGCCATGGAAAGATGACCACTGGTCAAATTGGGAAGATAACTAAATCAAAAGCATTTAAGAAGGGATTTGGGAATGCTTATAAAGTTGCAAAACAGATGGCACCAAATATGCCATACTACAGTACAGTTGCCCTCACCCTTAAGTTGATTAACCTTGGACTGCAATCTCGAGGACGCAAAGGAATACCAGATGATCCGGTGGAGCTGGCAGAACTTGCTGTCAAAGGTGCAGCGATTTGCAAGCCAGGAAAACCAGGAAAGAGATGACACTTCTGGCAATAATAGAAAAAAGAGCCTTTGTATTAGTGATGCTAAATTTTTGTACCCTCTAATCAAATTTGATGTCTCGAGCATACCTCAATCCCAAGTAGCATGGATTGCAATTTCATTGCAATGGATTGTGAGTTGATTGCAATTTTTGCTTGTTGCCTATACGTTCATTTGAAGGCGCTTAAAAAGTTGCAATTTTATTGCAATAAGTTTGCAAGAAATGTAGATTATGCTTGTTGCCTAACCTTCTTTTTCAAGGCACTATAAAGACTGCAATTTTGGTGCAATCATGTTGTAACAAATTCACGCCATGTGGCTGGCATCCAATTCTCTAGTTGTTTTAAAGTTTTTTCGACTTAAATGTCTCACCTAACCCATATAGCCCAACATATTTTGAAAATATTGTCACCTTTATCAAAATATTTTCATGGCAATATTGTAATTAAAATATTTTCAAAATATTTTTAAAACATTTTAAAGGAATATTTTGAAAATGTTTACAAAAAATATTTTTAAAATAATTCAAAAATATTGCCTGTAAACATGCATGTTAAAAATATTCCTTAAGAAAGTTTTGAAAATATTTTTAAGTTCTCAAGTTAGTATGTGGTGTAATTTACACCGGTGTAAATTTAGTGTGAGTACCTATTACGTGATATCGAAAAAAAAAATCAGACAAAAAAAATATGAAAAAAATAAATAACACGAAAAAAATAAATAATAGGCAAAAGAAAGAAGCCTGAGAAAAACGGCGTTAATCAAATCTATGATGAATGTTGAGCCACGCACTGACGCAATGCATGCGATAACAGCCTTAACAGGCGTGATTTCAACTCGGATCATCATCAGCTCCCTGTAGCTCAGTGGAAGAGTGCTCCGCTATGACATTCGCGGGTCGGGTTCAAGCCCACTCAAGGGCGTCCGGTATTTTATGCCGCTAAACGTCGTAGGACATTAGGTAAGCATGGGTTCGAATTATTATAATTTCCCCGGAAAATTTAGGGGTTGAAATTTAAAGGTCGTCAATATTGAAATTTCTTTGCAAAAAAAAATTGCAACTTTTTTACAATGAGGGGGTCAGATGTTGTAAAATAATTGCAATTTTCTTGCAAGAAAGTTGAAATCATCTGGAAATTTTATTTCATTTAAATTGCAATTTTTTCGTTGCAAAATGCTACTTGGGATGTGACCTCTCTCCCCTTACAATGCAGAGGAACAAAAAACTAAGACCCTTCCGCCCAACTCCCTCTTTCTAAAAATACATTATTCAAAGGCCTCTAAAAAACTAAGACCCTTCCGCCCAACTCCCTCTTTCTAAAAATACATTATTCAAAGGCCTCTTGTCGGCTACACTATCTGGCAAAGAATTTGAACTGGTGCAGTTTTCAAATTTAACTCTCACAAACTAGGTATGATAAAAAATAGATTTATTTTATTTTATTTTTTTTTGTAACTTAACATATTTTCAAAAAATGTAAATGATTGTGACCATGTTTAAAAGTTCTAAGTGTATAAATTGACGGATAAAAAAAATGTCTCACTAGTGAGAGGATGCTCTCACACAATTTTACAACTTAGTATGTAAAAGGTATGTTTCTGGGTGGTTAAAAAAGCTTGAAATGTTGAAGTTTTCAAATTATTTCAGGTAGCCTGTATGGAGTGAAAATTTCAATCCAGTACCCATCTGGATCTTTGATGAATGCAATGCCTTTCATTTTACCTGTAAATATAAAAATCATATTGAAGAGCAGCTTTTTAACAGTTTGTAGTACTGAAATACTATTAAAATATTGATTATTGAGTTATGTTTTATACATGTACTCACTTACTCTTTCTAGTCAGCAGCTTTTTTTTATCTGTTTCACAATTTTCCCTGACAATCTGGCAGCATTTTTTTTTTTTTCAGATTTATGAATTTAAAATTGATACATTTGAAATACATACTCTGAAAATTTAGAGGTTCAATTTTGCCTCATTTTCTTTAAGGAAAAAAACAGAAGAAAAATTTGACAGTGTCTTAAACAGTCACTTTGGCTAGTTCTCGTTACGTTGTCCACTTTCTTATTTGAATAATTTTAGTCAAGTCAAGGTCTGCATTATGTGGATGCGATGAAGTGTCACTAATTGAGTACTCAGAATCAGCTATATGCATCAAGTCAGAATGTCAGATACAATGAACAAAATATCCATCGCCAAGACAAGACTATATAAAAAAATCTAACTCACAAGTTTTTATGAAGATGCTAGGTATACTTAAGAGTGGAAAGATTTCTGATACTGACGAGCGGAAAAAGAAAATTTTCGTCGGATGATTTTAAACATTTTTGGTCAAATTCTGAGATAATTTGACTCAATGGTATCAAATGCCTATAAAGAAGGAGTTACTCACCATCGTTGGGCTTTTTTACAAATTCCACATTTAACTGTTCAAAACGCTCGCATGCTTTGTCTACATCAGGAACTGCCAACCCGATGTGACCTGCAAAAAATATTAAAATATCTCATTAGGAAATCAGTAAACTCAGTTGAACATACTAAGTACATGCTTATTTTCAGATAAAATATGTTGTAACTCTCTAGGTATGCTCTTGACGACATGATTCTTCATTGCAAATGCTAAATGGGGCACACACAAGATATTTCTAATAAAAAAAAAGAAAATATCGCATCATTATAGTAATTTTTAAAAAAAAAAAAAAAAATATTAGAAGCAACCGCTGTATCATTAATCTTGTCTGGAGTAGAAAGTCATCATAAGCTACCATTAGGATGCACAGAAAAGGCTGATGTTAGAAAAGTAGCTGCGAAAAGCATTTCAAATTTTGTTTGTAATTTGACAGAAGAAAGAGTAGAATTTCATCATACTAGTTCTCCCACATTAAAAGCATGTGAAAAATAAATATTCATCTCTGAGTTTTGAAGTTTCTACTATGATTGACCTGCATTAGAGTTTTGCAGTTTAAGTAGGTACTCATTATTCTGTAAAAATGTTAAAGGCGATTCCCAAGCCCTGAGAGTTCACCTTTATATCCAGTAATACTTTAGTCAGGTTGCCACTTCGTTTGGAAACTCCAAGGCTAGAGCCATGGCACTGTCGTACTAAGGAAGAATGCCGGATGAACATTTGAGAAATGCCAAATTTCCTTCAATAAACTGTTTATTTTGGAGAAAAGTTGTAAATATTCTTCCTTGAAATTTTCAGGGACTTTAGTTGAATTTGGGAATAAAATTATCTGAAAAATTGGAAGGATAATATTTATAGGTTTACCAGGAAATTTGTGTTTTATCAAAGGAAATTTGGCAACGCCTGAAGGTTCATATGGCGTTTTTCCTTAGCATGGCAGAGCAACCATGCATGAGGAGTTTGACTAGATGTAGAGGGGGACTCTCAGAATGCAATGGAAGGGTCCCCTTCCATTAGGATCTCAACTTGGAGGGCTTTTGAGAACTTGAGAGCTCGTTTCAGAGAAAACTAGTGGCACCATTGTGTTTCTTGCAAAACTTTACACTGGATATGTGATTGGTTCGCAATGAAATCTCTGACGCATGCGAGAGCTCTATTCCTTACAGTTTTTGACTTTTTTGAGGACCTCTGTCAATTACATTCACCCTTTAGAAGATCTAAAATTGACCTAAAATTTTTCATCCTTCCATTTGATGATTGAGTGAGGTTTAACTCAAACTTACCAAAGCCTTTTGGCTCCGAATTGCCATTGTGGTACTGAAAATCTGCCTTCTCTTCATCACCCCAGTTGCTGCAATATTAAAGAAAAATATTAAGCATTGAATACACTTGTCAGGTAAAAAAAATCACTAAGAAAGTGGTGATGGCAGCTTGGCTAGATCAGAATCCCTAATTCCTGCTCAAGGAGATAGGACGACAATATAGGTATACAAATTAAAATGTCCCATTGTAATACACTCAACAGTCATTTCTTGTTGATACATTTTTTTGTAAATCACAAACTAAATATTCAAAAGAGCAACTCTGTCAGTAAACTCTTAAATTTTTTGGGTAGCAGCTAAAATTACATCAATGAATCATCTATGACTCACAATGATAAGCCTTAATAAGAGGGAATCGACCTGTTACTTCTGGTAAATCCACTTTCATCATTTAAGTATTACTAAAACTTCATTGCTTACTTAGTGCTGGTAATGCATCTTACTTTGATACCAGCGTGTCGGAACTAGAACACCTCCAACATTAAAAAATTTTGGAGGCAATATAAGTATACTTACTGTGTTAGTTCAATAGTTGCTTTGCGCGAGAAAGTCCACTCAATGTGCTTGGCTGGATCCGTCGGTATGTCTGCTGGGTTTTCATATCCCATAAAATAGAGAGAGAACTTCATGGGTGGGAAATCTAATTTCTGAAGCAATGTCATCCCGAGAACTCCTGTGTAAAATTCTAATGATCTTTTAGGATCCTTGATTCTGTACATTGTCTGCTGCATTATAAAATCCTAAAATGAAAATGAATCGTTTTCAAAAATTCAAAAAGTAACAAAATCACAGATTACTACTTGAATATTACAGTTCATCTCCCCTTGCAAGTCAATACATTTGCTGCACTTGGTCCAAATCACAAAAACTTGCACGCAATGAGCCGAGCAAAGCAACCAACTATAGATCCACTTTCTAACATTTGGCAAGCTAGTACCTGTATTGCTTCATTCAAGACCTACATTTTGTGCATGATTTAGGAAAAGTCATTAGGATGTATCGAACCTCAAGCAATGGTATTAGCTGATCATTTTTTTTTCTCCTACAGCAGCCATTCTTGGTGGTGTTGGCTGGAGCTAACTGGGTAGGATCTGATATAGCTATAGGGGTGCCAATTAAAATTTGTCAATCTCCGAGGCAAATCTCTCAAGGGCAGGGTCATTGCTCCCGACACATTCAACATTTGGACTCACATTTAATTTGACAGCATTTTCAGATGTTCTGATGTAATGGACATTAAGCATTTGTAATTTATCTGGGGCAGGTGCATGAACTGAGATCTTCCTGCCACTATTCCGAAGGTTGGCGTTTCGTCCAGCGTGTAATGAAAGTGGATGGCATTGTCATTCCAAATAAAAGTATTTTGGAAAAGTGCTGAGGGAGCACTTGTGCTTAAAAATAAGTTACTGATTGTAATTTTGTGTTTGTTCATAAGACATGACCTAGGTGGAATGGAGTTTAGTGACAAGTCGATGCTGTCATTCAAGTGCGCATCTCGGTGTCTTTTTGGTGACTTGGTGGGGCAGAATACTAGGCAAGTTTTCAGTCACTAAAGAAATGCCTTGAGGTGAACCATTGTTTGACCTGAGAGAGAGAGGGCAGTGCGCATGGAAACTGGCATCAACCGATTACGTAACACGTAACTCTGATCCACCTTATTCTTGCCTTGTCATGCAGAAAAACAAAAAATTACGACAGTTACTCTGCCTGTAGGTTGAGCTACAGACCAGCTAGGTCATTAGTGTCTTCGTGCGGGGGAAAAGTAACTGGTATTCTTACTTTGGTGGCAGGGTCTTGAGGAATGCAGTGTTTTTTGGCCTCTTCATGGGACAGACCAGTGGGTTCAGCCATGATTTCCAGTAAGTAAAATGTACCAAAATATGAGAATCAAGAGAGAAAAACTTCTTCTTTGCTGTAGGTCAGTGAAGTTGATGACAAACTTGAGATTACGTGGAATAATGGATGTTACAATGACCGTTACTAGGGAAAACTTCGTTCGGGAAAAAGGGTGCGTGGTAGAATTCACGTAAGAGGAGTACTACAGAACCATGCAACCGCAGCAGCACTAGAGCACCAAGGGCAGATCTCGGATGCACGGAAAACTATCGAGACACAACAGGTTTAACTGACAAAAATGTACGATTCAAGATGCATTTTTTACATCATGAATCCTTATCAATGTTATTTTCCTCGCTACTCGCTGTTATCACCAGAAAGCCGCTCGGAGTTGACATTGTTGCCGAGACTACAGAATTTTTAAGAGATCGCAGATCGCTGATTGGTTGAAATTCGAGTTCTTTTCGAAAAAACTGGAACATTTCAGCCACAAGCCATGACTATTATTACATTATGTTCGCTCTCGTGCTAAGTATTCAGAAATGACTTTAATATTACATTCCTCGTCTACCCTAAAAAAATAATTAATCACTTACTCCGCACGATATTACAACATCTAACCGTAACTGTAAACATAACCTCTTCTCTCCTCTAAACAATAACACAACCACAAGGGCGGAGTTCAATCGTCGACATCGGCAGAAGTCGAATTCGAGAAAAGGGCAGTCGTCGACTCGAAGCGAACGGGTCGAATGGTTCCGCGAACTGCCGCGAATGTCATGAACATTCGCCGGGGCGAGTTTGTTATTGTTTCTCATTAAACTAACCCCTTTTGAGGACATTAGTAATAGTGATAGTACATCTTCCTATTTAATAGTCAAGAATGAATGTCTAATATTTTTCACTGAATAAATTTTCGCATGTCGTCGGATAAATTATTTTTTTGGCAGTGTGTCTGTTTAGTAGTAATTTCTTGCCTAGCCACTGCTGTTCATTGTCGGAACGGTGGGAAGTTAATCGAAGCTGTTCAATCCGGAAGTGTTTTTGAGTCAGTTTAAATTAATTAATTAATTTCTTTTTCAGTCTGAGCCCTAATTGAGTGGACATTTTACGACTTTCGTGTAGGTAGGTGGAAAAATCCACTTTTTGAGGAAAAAGTAGTCTTTCAGCAGTTCATAGATTATCTCCACTCGCTACCACGCCAAAGGAGCATATCATTGCGTCTGATCATTGAAGGTTTCTTGAGAACCAAGTTGATGAAAAATGCAGATGAAACTGTAGCTTTTCTTGTTCTTGAAAAACTTTAATGGCAGATTTTCTTATACAGCGAGGGAAACGTCTCTGCTCCATGGTCATAGTCGCCATGACTGAAGATTCCTTCGATGGTAAAGTTCCTTATCACCTTTAATACGCTTTAATATCACAGGTCTTTACATCTACCTCATTGTAAGTTGCTTTCAAGCCTCTACTTTGACAACTTTATTCTTGATGTGGAAGCCAACGTTTTGTTACCCACAGGAGTTACTTGGAAATAAATACATTCATGTAGGATACCTAGAATTTACTACCGACACAGTTTCCTTTGCTTCAATCTGCTTTTGCGCAGTTCCTCATACTGTAACGTGACAAGACTGAGTCATAGAAGGGTGCCTCGGCTCCCTACTAAAGAGAGACAGGGTGCTGAAAACGCGAACACAAAAAGATAAGAGGATGAAACACTAAGTATACTTGACTGCAAAAGTGAAAGAGCCGCCTGAGGCCCAGCCTCAAAGAAGTACAACTGGAACTTCTCACACTAGTCCTAATCGGAACATTTTAATTCAAACATGGAAAAAGTTATGACATAGGTACCTATCGAGCATTCTTTTTGCACATCGCGGTAGGACATGATACTTTCAAAGACGAGAAAAATCAAGTTTATTTTCCATGAAATTAAAAAAAAAATTAGGCATTTTCACCGCGACTTGTTTCTGAAAACACAGAAATGAGACATTGATTTTTACACGCAACTTCATAAGAGTTTTTCACTTTCATTGAAGAAATTTGAAGTTCATTTTATAAATCCTTCCATTTTAAGGGGATGCATAATGAAGGTGACATCACTTAACCACAATCCTTTCTGCAGTTGCATCATTTCAGATGTTCTTAAATTTTTTACTATTTTGAAGCATAACGGATCAGTACATGAAGAAAAATTGCATGTAATGCACCGATTCTGAGATGCTATCAATCCATATTCCTTGCACAATGGAAATTTTTCTAGGTTCACCATTGATGTGTATGTCTAATCACATTAAAAGATAAAAATAAATAAAAAAAGCCACTTAGCGCCCCAGCTGGGTCTTATTAGAAAAGATATTAAAAAAACTTAAATTCCCTTCAAGTATCAGAATGGAAAAATCCTGAAGACCTTTCTCTTCAAATCATGGTGCAAAATTAAGAGGAGAACATTTCTCCAAAGTTCATAATTAAGTCTATTATTGGACATAGGACATAGCCTTTCTCTGATGAAGAAAAGGAAGACATTAATGGTGACGCTAGGCTTTTATTGCTCATCAGTCGAGGTCAAATTATAAATCGAGACCTGTTTACTTAGGTATCTACTTTAAGGGTCAGAAACAAAGCATAAATTTAGTTTAATTTACAACCATTGATGGAATTTCCTGATCCATTATGGCTCTCGTTCTGCTAAGAGAGCTACTTTAACTTAGAGGTCTTTAGTGTCGTCCACGGCAAAGACAAGCAGCCTATACATAATGCTCCATTTGCAACAAACGATAAAATGAAAAGTAAAATAAAATGCACAATGGTGAACTAGGTTCGATTGGTTCGGTGCGTTCGGGCATCGACGTATGACCGTTCGCGAATCGACCTCTGACCGTTCGCCACGAATCGACCATTGCCGATGTCGACCTTTGCTACTCGTTCAACCACAACACCCGCGTTTGCGTTGAAAAACGCTCTCTCCCAAAAACTATCCGGTGAAGTGAGCTTAAAATATTTTAGTGTACTCTCTTGTGGTTTTCTCAATTCTTACTCCCAATGGTACTTCATCAGGTATCTCTCTTTTAGCGAAAATTCTCGTTCGTGTGTAGCATGCGCTTGAATAGGAGACATAGTCTGTGCGTGTTTCGCTCCTTTTTCTTCAGTCATTTTTCAGCGTTATATTAAGGAAATATTTTATGGATTTTTTCTGATGTTTTCAATGACGTAGGATCTTTTCAGTTTGTTTTAAAATCGACTCACCATATTGTATCGTCCTACACTGTCATCCATGACGCGCGCCAACTTCACCATTCTCTCTTGAATTTGAAGGTATGTAAAAGCATCTTGTAATCTTCTTCTCCAATCCTTTTATGTTGTGCAATCAGCCATCTAAAATCAAATGGAAAATTGCTCAAATTTTCAAAGGACAGAGAAGTAGAGAGCCATTTCACTGGACAATATCTATCCTAAAGTTTGGCAATTTCAAGGATTCAAAACGTTATTAGAGCGGACGCATCGTATGTTGAGACAAATGCCAATCTCTGACTACCTCTGAATCAGCCGCACTCAACAGGTTAATACATGCAGTCAGATGGCACCACTGATAAGTGATGACCTAGACAATACTTGACTTTTGTCTCAACATACGATGCGTTCGCTCTGTCCTATTGTTTAATCGTTGCCAATGAGAATGAAGAGGCTGTTACTCTCAGTTCGGTGACATCAAACTGGCGAATATTTACTGATTACAACAATCATTTCCGGGTCATCGGAGCATTGATTAGCGAGGCAGTCACTGCATAGACCAATCAGAGTGGCCCTCGATCGGCGAAAGTTGCGTGAGTGTAGCGTTTGAATCTCAGTGAAGTAATGACTTTCGGTACCTGGCTTCCATTTTCCACATTTTCAGATAGCATCATTTATGGACCAGTTAGTTTTCTAAAAGTGAAATTTCATCCTCGGGAAAATAACTCGAAAACTCCTCAACTCGAGAGTTCTTATCAATTTTTGCATCCGATAAACCCCTGAAAAGTTAATGGTACGTAAGAGGAACGCATCGTACATCCTCCCATAAGAGCACATGTTATACCGCGGCTGAGTTTCATCCAATAGCGAGATGTCACAGAAAAGTACTCACGACCTCTCCATTCTTGTAGGTGTTGGTGGACAAACCCGATTTTAGGACAAACTAGAATTTCCTAGGACAAACTTGTTAGCCGGAAGAAATCTCGTTCGGCCTAAGCACCTAGGATAAAGTAGTTTGGCCTAGGCCGGAACTAGTTTGTCCTGAGCAATTTAGTATAAACTAGTTTGTCCTAGGCCAGAGTAGTTTGTCCTAGGTGCTTTAGGAAAAACCTCGAGTTATAATTTTATTTTTTTCAACATGGTTAGACGGGGTAAAGTAAGGAAATAATAGGAAGATTATTTTAAATTCTTCAATGTAAATTTATTGCTTTAGTTCTTAGTTTACCCGTATTGTTTTGTACATTTTAATGAGTTACTTGAAATATTCTTGATATTTGATTTTTAAGTTTGATCATCAGCAGCTATTCTTCGTCAATAGTAGCAGCATCTATCCCAGCACCTGAACCGGAACTAGTTTTGCCTACATGTTTTAGGAAGAACTAGTTCGGCCTAGGCCCAAACTAGTTTCGCCTACGTGCTGTAGGATAAAGGAGTTTGGCCTAGGAAATTCTAGTAGGGCCCGCGGTAACTAGGCCAAACTAGTTCGTCCTAGGAAATTCTAGTTTGTCCTGAAATCGGGTTTGTCCGCTAACATAGGCAACAGTTTAATTTTAAACATCTAAAACTTTGATAAATTTAATGATGATAACAATTGATGAAGTTTCATCTGCCGCCAGATTATATGACATTAATTTTAATGATTAGTTCTGTGTGTACCAATTAGTCTTTAACCAAACCATCTTTATGGCATCAAATTACTGCACGCTGTAGTTATTTCGTAGCTTTGATCTCCAATTGGATTGTGGAAACCCACTGCTCAGTAACTTTGCTAGTCTGATAGCTTCAGTTTGATCGTGCGATTCAGGCTATGGACCTCGAAAGATCGTTGAGCATTGTGTGAATGTATGGGGCATAATGTGTAAACGCAAGTCAATAGTTGCCACGAACTGAGGTGAACAAAACTAATCGCATGGCATCAGGAAATTCTGTTTCCAAATGACCCCAGACAGTTTACTTCAACAACTCACACGAGTTATAACTTTTATCTGATCATACCCATCATAGGTAAGTGAGTTGTAGTTGTTCATGGGCGTTAGGGTAAGTAGTTTAAAGTTAATTTCTAGCTCACTATTCATTATTTAATGTGTATTAATTTTTTCTTTTCTTTATTTATTTCAGTTTAAGTATGGCGGAAGACATTTATCGCCTAGAAGGAAACAATGAAGAAAAAGGTGGACTCATTATCAAGAAGAAACCAGATCCAAATGCCACATTTAAGTTCAAAGTACCACAAACATCTCTGTTAGGTCTTGACAGACTTGCAGGTAAATTACCTTTTTGGGCTCATTCAAAAATTTCCCAAGGGCTATCAGGCGCTCAGGTGGTTTTAAGAAGGAACAGGCTTACTTGTCATCTACCGAGGTAGTCCAAAAGTTCTCATAGACAGTGTCGATCAGACTAGGGAACCAATATTGTTTTTACTTGGAAAAATTTAGGATTAGATACATTTTAGATGGAGGTTAAGTTTTGAATCTTGATGGCTTTTTTTCAGTTAAAACGTTTATTTTGAAAATGCTCAATGCAGACTTTTTCTTTTTAAAATGGAGTCTTGAATTGTTATCAGATTCATCTACATCTAAGGTCTGCTTAATTTTCTGTTAAAAACTGAAAAAAAAGAAAGAAAAAAAAAACCCTAATTGTAATGCTCAAGTTCTCCCAATATTCAACAAGAATAGATTAACAAGAGTAGGCATGCAGGATTGCTAGTTGTGCCAGGAAAAGTAAGAATTATTAGGGAAGCCACAGCCTTTTTTTTTCTCTATCTAACAAGCAAATTTGGAAAATTGATCTTGCAAACGTATCACCACCTGATCAGAGAGTTCTGCAAATTCAATCAAAATTTTGCAATTGCTACCATGCGATTTACTCATGAGGATTTCCTAACTACTTACTTAAATAGATAAAAAAATATTGATTTTCTACTTATTTGATTCTACTTATATTATTTCTACTTTTTCTCTTTATTTGATTTTCTAAAAGTCCTCTAACTTTTTAATGTTTTGAAAAATTCGAAAGTGTTGAAATATTTGTTGATTTTCAATCATTGTTACTTTTCACCTTTTTGCGAATCCTCCTGAAAATTGAATGGATATTTTTCTTACAGGCCGAAGCATCAAATTCCGAGTTTCAAGAAAAACTGAGAAAACCGTGCTATTTGACATGCGCTCAATCTTTTGAGCCCAAAAAAGTATGTCTGAAGAATACCTATTGAAATTGAACTCAAAAGCTTGAACTTACGCAGAATGGGAAATTTTTCCCCGTTTTTCCCACACTTGGATTCTGGCATTTTGGCCCTTAAGAAAGATAACGGTTCAATTAGTTTCTAGAACAGCTAATCCTTAGCTCCCAAATAAGTTAGGAAGGAAAATTTTTCTACTCCTGCTGGTGTAACTAACTTCAAGTAGAAACTTAATAGCTCTTTTTTCTTCCTTTGAACTAACATGAAGTCAGATATTTTTCTTTAGATAATCTTTTTTCACCTAGACTCAATTTCTGATGACATTGATTTTTAGTTTCACTTGAGATCTAAAGAAGAGCAGAAACAATTGTGAAGAAAAATGATTGTTTGATGTCTAATGTTGTCCACTTTGTTTCCAGATGTAAAACGCAAAGAAAGAGAAAGTCTGATCAAAGATGCGGAAAAAAAATCCAAATTAAAATCTTATGCTGACTCGGATGATGAAGGGCAGGATATTGAAGCAAGTCCATCTCCTCATAGCATTCCAAAAAAGGATGAAAAAAGGTCAGTAAACTGGCATTTCAAAAGATCAGTCTCCTATCACCTTTATAGTTGCCCATTTGTGAGTTGGAAATTATTTGCACCTGGTGCAACTTAACTTCTAGACACTAAGGTTATTAAATTCTGTGTTCCACTCAAATCTTTCATCAAATTATAAATTTAATTTTAAATCAAATTAAAACTCGATCGTCCTAGCTAATTTTAGGAAGGACTGATTTTTTCTTCACTGTTTATATTTTCTTTTGGCAAGTAGAGCAAACCCATTTTATGTATCCGATTTAATTTATTTTATTGTGTGACATATTTGTAAGTATTTAATACAGCATTTGATTTCAAATTTGTGTTTATTTCATCAAGTTTTTTGAATGCTGGGTGTCAAATTAAGTTCAATGTAATGACCTCCACTTTTTTGGAACTCTTCATTATCCAAGCGCCACATTAGCTGACAAGGGGAGCTTCCCAAGTGTAACCGGAATTTCGAGTTGAAATTTCGCATGAAGATACTAGAGATGATTTTAGGGATGCCGTATTTTTTCGTTTTTTCGAATGGGGTCGGGAAAGCCCTCAAAAAAAGGGCTAAAGATGCGAAAAAAACGCGTCCGCTAGCGGCACAAGGTAAACATAGGTGACAGAGGCTCTGAATCCTTATTAGTGCCGCATGGCCAAACGGTAGCGCGCTCGCATCGCAGGCGGGAGGTCCAAGGATCGGATCCTGATTACAACATGTAATTTTATTTTACTTTATGCTCGTTTATCTTTCACTTACTTTATTTTGCACCATTCGCTCCGCAAACCGACTTACAAGGTAGAACACGTAGTGACTGAAGATTTTTTACATATGCTGATAAAAACTTGAAGTTTCTCTTGGATTGAAACATTATATATAATTAAATAAACAAAACACTCTAAAACTCACCAAATTTCGTTGCCAAGCTGAATTTCCGGAGTATCAGTCGAATCTGTATCTGTATCTGACTGATACTCCGGAAATTCAGCTTGGCAACGAAATTTGGTGAGTTTTAGAGTGTTTTGTTAATTCAATTACATATAACGTTTCAATCCAAGAGAAACTTCGAGTTTATATCAGCATATGTAAAAAATCTTCAGTCACTACGTGTTCTACCTCGTGAGTCGGTTTGCGGAGCGAATGGTGCAAAATAAAGTAAGTGAAAGATAAACAAGCATTAAGTAAAATAAAATTACGAGCTGTTATCAGGTTCCGATCCTAGGATCTCCCGCCTGCGAGGCGAGCGCGCTACCGTTTGGCCATGCGGTACTGTTAAGGACTCGGAGCCTCTATCACCTACATTTACTTGTGCCGCTAGCGCACGCGTTTTTTCCGCATCTTTAGCCCTTTTTTTGAGGGCTTTCCCGACCCCATTCGAAAAAACGAAAAAATACGGCATCCCTAAAATCATCTCTAGTATCTTCATGCGAAATTTCAACTCGAAATTCCGGTTACACTTGGGAAGCTCCCCTTGTGAGATAATCCAAGGTATTGTGTATTAATTAAAACTAAGGATTTATGAAGGAGATAAACGAAATTTGTGTAAAAATTGAGTTATTAGTGATCATAAACAGAACTCGTACTATTGTAAATTTCACAAAAAAAATCAACTTGAAAAAGGCAATCTTCAGCATCTGCCTAAAGTTTCTGTGTGTAAATTTCTAGAAAAATATCAGACTGAAGTATGACAATGCAGTTTCAATTTAATAACATGGTTCCAGATAAAAAGCTGATCTTTATTTAGTAAAAGTTTTTTATTTATTTTAGGCACTATCGGCCTGCATTAGATGAAACACCAACACACACAGGTGGTATCTCACAGGAGGCTAAGGAACGCCTGGAAAACCGGCTGAGGAAAGAGCGTGAAAGAGGAATCTATGTATCAACATCTGAAAAGAGGAAACGTGAGCGAGAAGCAGAGGACAGAGAGGAAAGGCGAAGTTCGAGAGGTCGTGATGATAGACATAGAAGCAGAGATAGAGATCACAGTCGCAGCCATCGGGACAGGAAGGAGTTCAAACAGGAGCGAAGGAGCAGAGGTAAGCTTCTTCTAAAACCTTATATTAATAATGTGAGGCACACTCTATTCATCATTTTGATAATTATAGTTGGCAAATTACATAGTATCTCTTTTGACAAATTTCTATCACCTGTATTTTACTTTTTTAAAAGGAAACCAAAAAAAATATCTCCTAAAATTTTTTGAGAATGTTTTTGAATGAGTGAAAAAAATTCTCAGGAAATTTTAAGTAAAACCAGGGGTGCAGAATCTTCCAAGCTTTCACATTCTCACGCGCCCGCCAGCCAGCTTTCCACATTTTTCTCATCAGTTTTCCACAAAATTTCCCACCAATACGAAAAAAGATGACGTTTTTCTTCTGTTTTCCTTCTGTTTTCGACTTTCGGCCCTTACAATGTTCCGTCCTTCCACATTTCTGGGGCTCCTTCACATTTTCATGCGCCTGGGCAGGCATATGATTGGACATTCTCTGCACGTCGTAGTTTAACTGTCAGTTATTTTCTGATGGCCAAATCTCAAGATAGCTGCTTCGCCACCATCTACACTCTATCAATGCTTTTGTTTGTAAAAATACAGCTTTCATGTAACAAGCTTCAAACCAAGTTTTTTGCTCTTAAGCATAACTTAAAATTCCCAGACTGTTAATGACACTGTATAAGAGTTCTTTAGCAATCTCTTCTGCAATTATGTCTCACGATTGGTGTTTGATTTCAGATCGCGATGAATACAGGAGACATGACGACACATCGGAGAGAAGATTCCGAGTCAAAGATGAGTACCCAACGCCGCGCTATCGTGTAAAAGACTCACCATCAAAGTAAGCAGTCATGAATACGAATTCACTCTAATTAATATTTTTGTTAATCCTTTTTTTTTTTTTTTTGTTCCAACTCGGTTATTATTTTTACAAATCGGTATTTTAGTTCTTATAAACCTTAAAACTCAATGCTCAATCCCGGTCAAGTTTGTTAGTATTTTGAAATATTAAAAACTAAAAGCTAAATGTTTCAAATTGAGATTATGAAACAATGTAACGCCTCATTTGGAGAACTTATGTTGTCTGTGAAGGTGAAATTACCATTTAGCTGGAGCTGACCCTTTTTGTGTTTCTGTAGAACTGTATTTCCCAAATAAAGATACGGTACTCTCCTCAGATACAGATAAAGATACAGCTCTTTCTCTTTAATAGCCCATCTGTAATGGAAAACTCTCTGTAACTGAATTTCAATCATTTTACTGTATAAATTCTCTGGTCTCTTTTTACATTAAATACATGCACTTTCTTGTCTGCTCAACGGATCTTACTATATGTAGTAGATGAATTACATAGTTCCTTAATGTCTGCTCTGCTCTAAAGAAAAAGTACTGTATCTTTTCAAAAATATTTAAGTCAGGTCATAACATTTTTTCTCAGACAAGTATCTCTGTCTCATCTTCATCTGAAAGTAGTGAAATTGTTATCTGTAAGATGAAAGGAGAAATTTACATCTGCAAAAATTTGAACTGTCAAAACTGTCTTTTTCATTGATAAAAAAGTTATCAAAAACTTGATGCGTCAGTGTAACAGTTTCAATAAGGAGGGTTGTCAGCGTTTTAAAAGTTTTTTTTTTTTCTTTTTTTCAGAACGAATTGGGATGATGACAGTGGAACACCTTTAAGAAAATCAAGTTGGGACTATCCCACGCCCAAGAACTTTGCCCTTAAAGATGGTTCACAGTCTGATTGGTCCTATAAACGCGAAGAAAGATCTCACAGGATGTATGACGACACTCCGCGTCCCACGCCAGCACACAAATATAATGTTTGGGCCAAAGAAAGACGAAGAACTGGTGCTACACCACTTCCAGGAAAAGGTTTTTAATTTCCTATTCAATCATACATCCGCCCCCTTTCCTAGAGATATAATTGTGTACTATTTTTTGCAGGTTTCAAAATTGTGTGAATCTGAGTTTCTACTGGCTTTTTTGTGGCTTCGAAATGAAAAAAATCCCCATTTAATCCTTGTTTCTAGATCAATGATAATTGGAAAACTTTTCACAAACACTGTCTTGAATTTACCAAATTTCAGGGAAAAATACATGAAAAAATTCAAAATTCTGAAATGATTGACACCTCAGTTCTGCCGTGCAACGCAAAAATGCCGTAAACACCATTTTACATTTTTTGAAAACAATGTATCATAGCAGAAAAACTTGTTTACCTTGAGACAATTTTATTACAGAATTTTTTCGCAAAAACTATCAAGAACTTAACCTGAAAATTTGAGTTGCATGGGTAAAACAGTTTTTATTTCGTGTTAAGATCCAAAAAACAAGGGAAAATCTTGATGGATTTACGGCGTTCTTGCTTAGGACGGCAGAGTTTGTTATCTCTCAGAGAAAAAAATGCATCTCAATTACGATGTTTCTGTATTTTTAAGAAAACTTTATTTTTTCATGAAAGGAGTGTTGCACAAATTTGTCTGAAAAATTTAGAATTGTCTCCCAAATATGTAAGGAAACTTTAATGGAAATTTCAAACAAAGTCATGACACGATTTACCTGTAAAAAAATTTAATATTGGTCAGAGATACTGAAGCAGTGCAATCTAGATACACTCTTGTGTCCAGGAGTCAACAAATTTCACTGGTATTTTTGGTTTTTTCACTTGAAAACAATGCTCTCATTGTTTGTTTCAGAGGGAGAAGTGGAATGGGGAAGTCCTGAAGACCGCGAAGCTTGGGAAGAGGAGCAGAAACGTCTTGATCGGGAGTGGTATGGTATGGATGATGGTGTTGCCGAAGAGAACAATCCGTTTTCAAATCTTAGTGAAGAATATGTCAAGAAAAAAGAACTTCAACTTGAACAAAGGAAAAAGAAACGCATGTCTGCCCAACAACGGCAAATTAGCAAAGTTTGTAGTCCATGATGTGTTTTTTTTTTTATTCGTTGATTCACATGGTATCAGCGGTAAAGTTTAAATGCATAGATAGAGAATTGATGAACTTGCCATTATCTTTAGAAGAAAATCCGGTTTTTTGTAGAGAATCAGGGGGAAAAATGAGTGGAAACTCCATGTTTTCATTAGTGATTTGCCTTATAATCAAGAAATATCAGGAAATGAATCAATTCATGAATCCTAGACACCATGGTTTTAACTTACTCCTTTTGATGTTTCATCAATGTCTGATAGTTTTATTGTGTCATTGCATCAGTTATGTAACCCCTAACCACTAAATTGTTACTTTGATAGATTGAATGTCTGTATATGGATGGCTGAAGTAGAAAAAATGTGTACCTCAGATTGCGACGTTGTAAGCCTCCGCTCATGTTTTATTTTTTTAAAGGAAACTAACTAACAGTTTCTATTGAAGTCATCTGCAAATTCTATTCCTTCATTCTATGAGGACCAAACAGAATTGCAAGGAAACATTTTTATTAGTTTTCTGGGAAGAGAATAAAACGTAATCTAATATTTTTATTTGTTAGAATTGAAGTACTCCTGTTATGCATTTAACCATCTGCATACTTGGAACTTCTATCTTTTCTCATATTTATTGTACAATATCTATCTTCTTGCAGTAGGAACTTCAGAAGCTACTCTATTGTCACAATTAATGTTCTCACTTTATCTCAAAATGGGAGCCGTTCAGTCAGGATTTCTAATTTTTAGGGGCCATCTGCAGTTTCCTCTCTACTAATTTTTTAGAGTCCATAGCATTTTCGACAATAGAAGAGGAAAATTTCCAAGTTGTTAGGTCATAGTAGAAATCAAAATATTTTAGGTGGCTAGATTGGTGCAGGGTCTCTCATTTTTAAGCATAAAATCCGATTTTTGGCGCATTGCTTCCGATTAAGTTAGAATTTAATTTATATTTTAATTTCATAATTTCTAACCCAGTTTCTCTCTGTGTTCAGGACAATGAACTGTGGGAGAGGAATCGAATGTTGACCAGTGGAGTTGTTCAGTCCATCAATGTCGATGACGATTTCGATGAAGAAAACATTGACCGAGTTCATCTCCTCGTCCACAACATAGTTCCTCCGTTCTTGGATGGTCGTATTGTCTTCACTAAGCAGCCAGAACCTGTCATTCCTGTCAAAGTATGCCCAAAGTTTTCTCCTTTTTTTTAGTTAAATGAACTAAAAGTTTTATGCATGACACAGCTATTCTTTGAAGTCGATGATTAAGTGCCTCTTAATTTTGTCTACCAAATCACTATTGTTCTAATTTATTCCTTGGAGACTTTTTTGCTTTATAACAGAATTTGATATTTACCAATCAGGAAATAAGAAAAATGAGTTCTGCTGTCCAAAACAGCAATTAATTAGCAGGATTTCCTCAGATTTTAGATTTCCTCTTCCAATAAATTTCTCAAAATGCAACCTTAGAAGCATTCACTGTTTGAGGAGAATAGTTGAAATAACTTTTAAATTTCAAAGAGGAAGAAATCGTAAAGACATTTGAAATTCAGAAAATTGTTTTGTATTTTAATTTGTTTTTGATATTTTTAAACTCAAATTCTAAGAACATTTCATAAGATACTGAAAAGAGTTTTCTAAATCATACATTCCAACGGTATTTTCAAATTATTTTTGAAGTCCTAAATTATAAGGTCGATGCTGAAGCACAGCAAGCAACAAAACTACTTAGAAAAATTTGAGATTATGAAAATTACACAACTAATGGGTCTTCGCAAGAGGGTGGCTTCATGTGATTTACCAGTGTAAAGTAGTGTTTGCAGTGGTGAGCCATTCCAAACTTTATGAGAATAATTATCGCAACTATTCTTTGTTTTTGTATCTATTAAATATACCTAGTCTATTTGTGTTACTTTATGAAGAGTATTTTTCTTTCAGGATCCAAGTTCCGATATGGCTCTAGTTGCTCGCAAAGGATCTAGGTTAGTCAGAGTTTATCGTGAGCAGAAAGAGAGGCGGAAAGCACAGAAAAAGCATTGGGAACTAGCTGGCACTTCACTCGGTAACATCATGGGAATCGAGAAGAAGGATGAAGAGGTATTTTTCTCATGTCTTACCTACTATGTATGTAGAACTTTAGTTAAAAGAAGCCAGCAGTTCATGCACTTGCAATAACAACGTGGTTGTTTTAGAGCTCTAATTTTCTCAAATGTTTCCATGACTGTCCAAATTTTGCTATCTTCAAGAAGGCTGCATAAATGATATAGAACACACATAGATAGTTCAAATCATGACAGGGTCGTCTTGTAACAAACTTTCTGTGATTCTCACATCAGTGGATGCAAATAAATTATTTCTATCACTTTAATTTGATAGTCTTTTGCCCCAGCGTTTAAATTACTTCCTCTGCAAATCCTCATAAAAAAGTTTTAAAACCCTGGACGCAGGAAGTTCTAAAATCCTCACTGCTTGTCACAGTCTGCCACTACTTTATCTCAGCTGTATTTTCCAACTTCCAGTTTATTTTCGCCAGAATTCCCCAAATGCCTCAAATTTCCCCCAAAAATTACTGTGTTTCTACTAAACGGTTCTCCCTTTTTGAAAATCTCTTCAAATCACTTGGCCAACTCCTTATTTGTTTTGATCTTCGGATCGCACGACAGGGCATTTCCTGCTCCTCTTAAAACATCATGTTTCGGTATAAATTCTATTTTCTTTCTCTATTTTAGGACTCAAAACAAGGTAAGGATGGTGAAACAGACTACAAAACCGACCAAAAATTTGCAGATCACATGAGAGATTCGTCCAATGCAAGTAGTGATTTTGCAAAAAAGAAGACTATTACAGAACAGCGGAGGTATTTACCTGTCTTTGCAGTGCGGCAAGAAGTAAGTGCAAACAATCATTCCTCTTTCTGATAAAATGCAGTAGAAGCATGCTACTCCACAGAGATGGATCCAGCAGATTGGCAACTTTGGATTTTCTTCATTTAAATCTTGTGTTGAACAATCAATTCCTGTTGAAGCACCTGGCCGCTTCGAAAATTGATTCATTTCTATAGGTTTAAATGGAGGTAAAACAATATTTTCAACTTCCTGGATCCGCCAATCCTACTTCAGTGTTACAGGCTTTTTGTCAACTTCTTTCTCTTCCATAATCTAACAATTAATCTCTTTTTCATCAGATCAATGCAAGGAATTATGTAGACACAAGAAAATTGTTTGACTAGCCAACTTTCTGTTTGTCTCAATTCCCCACTTTATCCTTAGTTATCAATCCTAATTAGAAAATTTTTCCAGAATTTTTAGTTGGAACACTTGGATCCGAATTAATGAACTTATTGATAGTGTCAAAAATAGCCCTACCTGAGGAATATAATGAAGGAGAAACACTGAAGAATGTTGAGAGAAACCTGCTTGTTTGTGGCAGACCAAAAGACTGATAAAGGGACGCGAAGAATGAATATGAGCAGATCTGTGAAAAAAGGCCCTATCTTTGAGGATAAAGTTTTCCTTAACTTTTTGCAAATGCATGGAAGAAAAAAATTCCTGGAATATTAGTGCAAACTTGACGCTGAAAGCTCAAAAATCGAAGGACGTAGGAGTTCTGAAGTTTCAAGACAAACGGTCTTTGGTCATAGAAAAATGTGGTTTAAGGTTTTGCAAAAAGTGGCAGGAAATTGCTCCTGAAGATCAGGTCCCTTTTCACAGATCTGATTACAAATGAATTTTACCCCTTAAGCCTTGGAGGCATTTAAATCATTTGATGTTAAATGAATTTTAAAACATGAAAATCTTTATTTTTCTAGCTGTTGAATGTTATTCGAGAAAATAATATTGTGATAATTATTGGAGAAACTGGTAGTGGAAAAACAACACAACTGACACAGTACTTGCACGAAGACGGTTACAGTAAATACGGAATGATTGGATGCACACAGCCGCGGCGAGTGGCAGCCATGTCAGTAGCCAAACGTGTCTCTGATGAAATGAACACAACGTTGGGAGATGATGTCGGTTACACAATCCGATTTGAAGATTGCACGTCTGAGGTAAAGTGTCGAAAGGAAGCACCATTTTTCAATTTGTTCCTTCCTACTGGTTTTCTTCCCTCTTAAACATCTATCCAGGAAACTGCCGTGCCAAGGAAAAACGCCCTATGAGCCTTCAGGCGTTGCTGTTCTTCCTTCGATATAAAAACGGAACTGGGAAAATTGTGAATATTTTTCTCCCAATCTTTTAGGCAACATCGTATGCAATTATATCTAAAATATCTGAAAATTTCAAGGAAAAACATACACAACTTACATCACAAATACATTTTTTTAACCGAAGAACTACAACAACTCTTTCATGTACGTACAGCATTCTTTCTTAGCATGGCAGTACAAATGAAAACTTTATTTATCCTTGAAAATATTAGATAGTATTGAACGAACTTTAATTTCGCATCTGCCAAAGTTTATTTATGGAAAATAGTTTTGGCATCATTAAGTGGTATAGAACGGTCTAAATATATAGCCTGCAATGCCTGTCATATTGATCAGAAAGGTTCTGCCAGCACCAAGCCAGCTGTTTCCACCGGGATGCAGTTGATGGTATTAAACGTTCTCAAGAGACTGAAGGTCGTTGGAAACGTCCACATGCTAATGACTTATGACCAGCATGGCCCCAGCAGAAGAATGAATATCTGTAATTTTGTTTTTTGGGGGGAAAAAACCACGGTGCTAAGGAAATATGTACCGAAAATTCTGTGACAGGCAGTGTGCTAATTAGGCTTTTTTAAAAAAGACTTGTCTATGTAGTGGGCTGCTTTGACTTGATTTAGTTGTATGATGACTGGGTTTGGGGTAATTATGTGATCAAACCCCTCTGTAAATTAAAGTCTATTCATTTAAAAGCAGAGAAGGTGGCTCAGGGTGACAGAATGTTTTTCTTTCAGTATTTTTGCAGATAGGTCTATTCCCCTAAATGGTGCAGAAGCAAGAATTACATTTAGTTAACAGACCTGTCTTCATGAGGTACATCACATCGAGTACCTCTTGTTGCATCTTTTGTTCTCCAATTTTGTCTGCTTTCCTGTTTGACACAAGTAAAAATCCGACACCATCCTTTTTTTTTGACGTATGCTTTTCTTCGCATTTCAGAAAACTGTGATAAAATATATGACTGATGGTATTTTATTACGAGAATCTTTACGTGAGGCAGAACTGGATAACTACAGTGCTATCATCATGGACGAAGCCCATGAACGCTCACTCAGTACTGATGTTCTTTTTGGTCTGCTTCGAGAGGTTTGCTGTTTTCTTTTTCTACACATTTCAATGACATATTAGTTGTTTACCTCAATTTGTTTCAATTAAATAATGCTTTAATTTTAAGGTCCGGCAGGTAGAAACTTTTATCATTGAGTCGAAAAGATAGGCGTGTCTGTGTATTACCACAAGTAAATCTTTTCAACAATTTGATTTTGGCTGTCATTTATAAGAAAACACTGCAAACTGAAAATCTTTTCTTTTTGTAAACTATTTAATCAATCTAGTCTCGCATGAGTTGATCATTTATATACTTTTGTTGGTTTTTTACTCCATGGGAGGCTCGAAGGACCGTAGCCCTAAAAACCCAAATTTCAGTCATTGCTCCATTGTTGATTATTTATTTGAAAATTTGGGTGTGAATTTAATGGAAATTATTGAACCCAACCAGGGTAATGGTTTTTCAACGCAGCAGTTCAAAAACTTTATTTTTGAAAAGAAGCAATCGAAAGTTTCTCCTCTGTAAACTTAAATATTTATGTATTTTTCAACAAGAATTGCTCTCCTATTAAATATACTTTAAAATATGAAACCAGGGTAATGGTTTTTCAACGCAGCAGTTCAAAAACTTTATTTTTGAAAAGAAGCAATCGAAAGTTTCTCCTCTGTAAACTTAAATATTTATGTATTTTTTCAACAAGAATTGCTCTCCTATTAAATATACTTTAAATGGCTGAATTCACTTTTTGCATAGACTATTAAATTTAAAGAGATCAGCAACTCAGAGCTGTATAACTCTCATGTGCAGCTTGCCAGCCAAGCAAGATCAAAAAGGTATTTCCCCATTCTGAAATGGTTGTCATAATGTCTTTTCAAAATTGAAATGTGTTTCAGGTTGTTGCAAAAAGGCACGATCTAAAACTGATTGTAACCTCAGCAACAATGGACGCAACAAAATTTGCAACTTTCTTTGGGAATGTTCCTACCTTTACAATTCCTGGCCGAACATTCCCTGTTGATTTGTTCTTCGCCAAGAATGGTGTCGAGGATTATGTTGATTCTGCCGTTAAACAGGCGGTGCAGATTCATCTTCAGCCAACTGAAGGTAATTTTCCTGACAAAAAATTAACATTTCACGCTTCTAATCTTTAGAAATCGGTTTCAGGGCTACTTTTCCTTTTAATTGTACAGTGCAAAGTGGAAAGGCTTGCCATGCCTTAGATTCTCTCCCTTTTTATGTTCGTTTCTCACTGTAAGCTATGATTGAGATGGCTTATTTATAAAAAACTGGTTTTGAGAACCCCTTTTTTTGCTATATGCAACTTCAATCAAAGCATTATCAACAGCACATTCATTGGTATTATCATGGGTGAGATAAAATCTCATTTTTATTTACCTACCTGAAAATATCAATAACATTATTTATCGGTCATTGGTGAGTTTATTGATAGGTAATAGAATTTTTAAGAACGGAAGATTAGGTATGAAATTTTAAAATGCTTCAATCTTTGTCAAATTGATTTTTTCGACTTTTGCAGAACACTTACTATCAAAGAGACTATATTTAGCCATCAAGAAATACTGTATCTGGCTCATTTATAAAAGCTCTGATATGCCTTAAGAGACTAATAGCGTGTACATTGTTTCTGAAATGAGTTAGAAATAGTCCCTCTTTGTTCCAAAATTATTTCAGTTGATGATATTCATTGTTGCTAGCTAGTGATGAAAATTAGCTTTTCCCCACTTAAACCCGCATGAAATATGTATCCACATTTTATCGCTCAGCCCAGCAACCTTGATGACACTCTATTTTATCATCTCTACAGGGTGATCCAAAAATCCTGTACCACCAGTATGAAACATCACCTCTGTAACTTCTGAACAAATTAAGAGTGGGACTTGAAATTTTGTGAGTGCTCTGCGGCCAGAAGAAACAACCTTTGGGAACCCCCAAAATTTAAAGAGATCACCCTAAAAAGGAGCAAGAACTCTAGGGGTTATAAGGGTGTTGTGGGACTTTCGGATCACCCTATATTCTATTCAAGGACAGTTTTCATTTTGAAGTTCCTTCAAACCTGTTTATATTGTTTTATTTTTGTAGGTGATATTTTAATTTTCATGCCGGGACAAGAGGACATTGAAGTGACGTGCGAAGTCTTGGCGGAGAGGCTCCAAGAAATTGACTCAGCGCCTGATCTCCTCATTCTCCCTATATACTCACAGCTGCCATCTGATTTGCAAGCCAAGATTTTCCAAAAGTCATCAGAAGGACTCAGAAAGTGCGTCGTGGCTACCAACATTGCAGAGACCTCTCTTACAGGTACACTTAGTGGCACTACATAAATTAATTTAAAGTCAATCGGAACAAGTGATAGTTACTGGATTCAAATCAGTGATAGTTGTTTTCTCATATCATTTGATCTTAACTGTTTTCCTTAAAAAGAAAACGTTAAAGGATAAATGTTGTGATGTATGTTCAATGACATACATAATAGATTTGGAAGTAAGGAGAAAAAAATTTTGTGTTACCCACCAAAATATTTTTCATGTGTATCTCCAATAACATCACAAGTACTTAGGCAATTAAGTTTATGTTTATTTATGTTCACATTGGGCGTGGTATTTTTTATTTTTCTTTTAAAAAAACAATGGTCTGATTCAGTGGAATTTTTATTTTATTATGTGTTCCTCATGAGCATTATGATCAACTTGCTATAAGAGGTTTTTTGCTCAATGGCACCTTAATCAGGTGGTCTCCAGTGGACATTTCAATCAGGACATTTCCAGAAGACACCAGGAAATGGCTATGCCTTGAATGAGCCGTATTCTTAGTTTTCGTATGGTGGTCACACGATATATACATACATATCAAGCCGCTAACTCAGCGCACTAGAGCGCCCTGCGACTCCAAATCGCCATTGAAATCGATCCTCCCACAAATCATCGGGCAGATTACACTGTCTGATCTCCCCCTCCACTCCCTCCCGCCAACCTTTTACTGGACGCTCACGCCACCTTCTTCCGGGAGGAACCCAATCAAATACCTTTCTGGGCAACCGATATATAATTTGGCACACGATATATAATTTGTATAAAAATAAGAAGGAGGATTTTTCAAGTAGGGTAAAACATTCTAAGAAGTATTCCCTCACATGCGGTAAAATAAAAATTATGTCCGGACGAGTTTCGGCCGTTCATTGCCCGGCCAGTCCCGCAGTGGCTGATGATGGCCAGGCATTTAAGGGTTGGAATGTGTCTGGATACAAAGTTTTATTTTAGTGCATGTGAGTGTATATTTTTTAGAAAATTTTAAATTTCTTGATGTAAACATGCGTTTTATCCATGTTTCAGTGGATGGAATCATGTATGTCGTTGACTCAGGATACTGCAAATTGAAAGTATACAACCCCCGTATCGGTATGGACGCTCTTCAGATCTATCCTATAAGTCAAGCCAATGCTAATCAACGTTCAGGCAGAGCAGGTCGAACAGGACCTGGTCAGTGCTTCAGGTAAGATCATTTGGATGTATTTATACTACAAGGAACTATGTCGAACACAAACCCTATACGCATAGTTCCTTTTAGCATAAATATGTTCTTTTGGGTGCATTTAAGGAATAAAGTCTATTTGTGTCAAAAGTTTTGAAAAAAGACACATGTGGAATAGTTTAGAACTGCTAACATTTCCTAGGTAGGGAATTAGGGATGCCTACAACTTTAGAAGAGATAGAGCGGGAATGTGTTGATATTCATGTTAATGAGCGCTCGCAAGAACCAGCCAGGAATCCATCAAAAAATCAGAGGCAGCTAGGAGTTTTCAACTCTCCTGCAGTAAGAACTCTTTTGCATAATTAATTTCCACCTGAAGCAGCACTATGTAAAACGAGCATAACCTTATGAGATTTTTGAGGAAAACTCTACCACCTTAAAGCTGATTCATGTTTTTTCGGATCATCGTCCTCTGCTCATGGAAGTCTTTGTGCAGAAAACTAACTCTGAACCAGTTTCTGAGCTCCAATCTTAAAATCTGATCTATCCAATCAGCAGATAAGTTTTTTCTTAAATCTTCCATTGTAGATGGGCTTATTTTGCATGAAGGCATCCATTTTTAATGTTACTGTCCTAGGGAAAAGAGACTTTAATTACTCAAAGCAAATTATCCAGCAGAGCAATTTTGATCAGATCATATAAAAAAAAAATCGGTAATTGAGTTCTTGATGGAAAATTATTTTTTACTAAAAAATTGCAACTGATGGCGACTGACTGACATGAGTAAGACATGAGCAGTTCAGCTCATCAGGCTGCTGAAAAGTGGTATCAATTTAAAATTAAAATTTAATCTCTTTTGAGTCCGAAACATGGCGTATTAAAACTAGGTAGCGTGATGAGGAAGCAACATGGACTCAACCATGAGAAAATAAGTTTAAGTTTCTTGCCTCTCTGAAGCTTAATTTAATGAAAAACTTAACAGGGGTGCGAAAAATGTCTAATCCTGTGATTGGCAGATAGTTGCAAACAAGAGGCAATTCAAAGAGGCAAGATTGTTGGGCAATTTTGAAAACAGATGATTTTTTTCAATTGGGGCAAATCGCTCATTTTGTAGTGAAATTCGGCATTTTTCCATTAAATTGGACATTTTTTTATGAGGCAAATCTAACTTTTTGCCGTGAGGCAAGACAGCTGAATTGCAGCAAACAGTCGATCCTTTGGAAATTTTAGCACCCCTAAAACTGAAAGTCTTTTCTCCCTCTCTAAATATGTTTCGACCAACTTTACATTATCGAAGGAAGAAAATATACTTCTGGATAAGCTCAAAACCATTCCTCATTTAATTTTCCTTAGACATTACTTTGTTCTCTTTTAGTGCTGCCATTTTTTTTAATTTAAGCTGTCAAAAGTTTGGTGTTGAGTGTTTTTCACACCAATTTTTTTTTCTTTTTCTTTGTAACACTCTGCTTTGTAGCAGAATTGATACTCAATGAGATTTTCAGCAGTAGGGAGGGTCATTTCTATCAGAAATTATGAGAGTGTAATTTTTAAATAAAAAACATTTTGCTTTACACATTAACTTCAATTTTATGCTTTAAATGTTGTATGTGTACTTAGCACAGCCTCTCACAATTTCTTTTAAGGCAGGTCTCATTGACTCACAAAATTTTGTTTCTCATTGATTTGCTTCGATTGGTGGTTAGACTGTTTCTATGTTTCTGCCGGACTTTCATGCTGCGTTTGTTTATCAAGCAATCACCCATACAATTTTCCAGTTCAAACACACTTCTGAAAACAGAAATTTACCACATTTTTCAGATTTCGCCGCAATCATTTTTTAAAAGGAAATTACCTACAAAACTTTTGCTTTAGTTCCTTCTTTTTAGCTTCAAATTAAGATGGTGGTGAAATCGTAACGTGTAAAACTCACGTTGCTCTGAGAAATTTAGGCTTTTACACCAGTATGGTGCCTTTTTGGCAGCAAGTTGTTGTTCATTAATATGTAACGCTTAATTTCAGGGTTTTCCCAGAATTTTTTTGGTTGAGAATGATATTTTAGGTTCATGTGCATTGTGCAGGGGCTATTTTCCTTATTTTCGTTAAAAAGTCAAAATCTCCTGAGAGTCTCCACTCAATTGATGCAATATATTGCACGCAAGTGTTACCACGCTAAGAACCTGGGACGGATCTCCTTAAAGCGATGATCATTTTGTCCATGTGCAGGGAGGGGGATTGAAAGCTTAGTGAGGTAAAAAAAAGGTTACTTACTCAGGCGTTGCTTCGTAAAAAGGAATTCGCTCTATTGACAAGCCATGATAGAAACGTAGACCAATCAAAAAAATAAAGGCAAACAGGGTGCTGACAGCAGTGCTTATTCTTGCTGCTGTCTGTTCTGTGAGGAAAAATGTTGGTGACGTGCTAGTCATCAACTGCAGTCGCAGAATCCAGTAATGTGGATCATAATAGTTAATTTGAGACAGCTGGCCCTAAAATGATATTTTAATCTTTTTTTTAATGATGCTTCAGAAAAGGTAAAGTTTACATGGAATGACAGAATAAGCAATCTTACGGTAAATTTATCATGGCAAACGTGAGCATACTGAGCAATTTAAAGAAATTATCGAAAGGCAATGTTTCAATAACTTTGAAGGTCTTTTTTTTTTAAACTCGGAAGAGCAAGCTCTTTTGATACGGGCAGTTTAACTGATGGACCACTGACCAAAGTCATCAATCCTCCATTGCATTGCACTTATTGATCTGATAAAAATTTAACCTACTTATCGAACTGATAGTAATTAAAATTAAATTAAAAATTAAAAATCAAATTGATAGTGAGATAAATGAGGAATTTTTGGCAAATTTTTACAAAAGTTTGAGGAAATTGAGGAATTGGATTGTGAAAATTTAATGTCGGATTGCAACATTATTTTAATCATTAATCATTTACTGTTTCAATCATATCACTTGATAAACGCCTTAAAAGATCAGATGATCATTGAACTTTTGCCTACATTATATCAAACGCCTCTGTGCTGAAAGGAGATAAATATACCACCATTAATAATCGTTCCACAATAAAAGAATCCATATTTTGCATTCCGTACTCTCAATGATAGTAGTGCTGTACGTAGACACAAGTGGAACATCGACCTACTTCTGAGGCTCATCTAATTGTAGAAGTTCTGAATTATTTCATAGCTTTTTATCAAATGTTCAGTCTCAATGACACTTGAATGAGCATGAGTAAACTCTTAGGAAGAGTTCTCAATGATTCATAGACAGTTCCACTAAAATAGGATATTGTTAAAATGTACTTGCTTATCATTGGTTTGAATGTGAAAGAGCATACCTCAATTGTGAATGCTTGCAGCTTGTGGTAAAAGAGTTCTTGCAGATACAACCAAGAATTTGTAGATGACGAAAGAATTATGAAAGTGTAAATAAGCTATGAAAAAAAAAAAAATGAAAAT